GTAGAATACTTTTATTTTGAAGGTGTGGGTTTTATTTTGTAATTTAGACTTCTTGTGGGTGGGATCATTTCCTGTTGTACTGTAGTTGAGGACATGTTAAAGAAGCACGTTGTAGTAAAAATGATATCTATCCAATTCATCTTTTGTTCGGTCATGGGGCCTCGTCAGTGAGTATCTTTAATTTAATAACATAAGACCCAATTTAGGAACAATATATTATTTGTTTGTGCTGTATTTATTTTTGTTTACTTACCTGCAATTGGTCATGTGTTTGTTATTTCAGTACAGTAGAGAGATTACCGTATGGACAGGAGGAGATACTTGTGGTCAATCGGGGAAACGTGGAGGCAAATGGCGCTTTTCCACTGCATAGTACGGTACGGTTCGGCTCAGTACACTTCGACTAGGCGCGGAACAGTTCGGATCGCTTTGCGTTTCCACTGCAGTAGTACCCCTTCAAAGTGTGTGGGGCTGATCGTTATTTGCGCGCGCCTCTACTGCCATGACATCATCTTAAAAGCGCCACATTTTCAAACCCACAACACAGGAACAATGGAGACTAGCGAGGGGATGGTGTTCCTGATTCTCGGTATGTGGTTGTTTTTAACTGCTAGACGGAAAAATGTGTTTAAAATGAGGCTGATGGCAGCAAAACAAAAATACTGACAAAAAAAGTGTCTCGTGTCTCGTGTCGCAAATCCAATAACGCTAGTGACGCTGGTAGTGACGATTCTGTCTGACCAATCAGTGATCTGCAGTGTTTCACGTCACATTTTAGTACCGGTACGGTACGCTTGGAACCTCAACAGACGAGGTACCATTTAAAGCGACCTGAAGCGAACCGTACTGTACCGTACTATGCAGTGGAAAAGCACCACAAGTGAGACGTACTGAACCGAACCGTACCGTACTATGCAGTGGAAAAGCGCCTAAAATAACAAAATAATTAATCAGAATACCTAGCAAAAGTTTCTCCTTCTCCTAGCTCATGGACAGCTCCTACTCACACTCTCTGCCTCTGCAAGTTTCAGAAGGGAATGATTCAGATTTCTCATGCCACAGCCACTAGAAGACAGACGGGTTGCTCACGTCACATCTACATCGTCAAGCTCTGTTTGAGTCGGTTTGAGTCTGCGCGTCAGGAACGGAAGTGCTAAAAAATCGCTAAAAGTGGGCTTCACTTGTCTCAATTGAGTTCCAATGAGATGCTCTGTCCACTTCTTATACTGTCTATGGTCCATACATGAGAATGCAGATTATCACTATGTTTTATGGATGCCAATTGATTAAAACAATGAATAATGATGTCTGTATTAATTATCTTGAGCCTGCTGAAATGTTCCTATAAATATATTTTCTTTCCAACTGTTCCATTATGAATAAATAGGCTAAATATATTTATCCACTAACCTGCAGCAGTCATGTGTCATCTCGTTCAGTATTTTTCTCTTAGCCTACCTATATTCTATACTTGAATTTAATTTTTTTTATGAATTTGACTAATAAAAAGTATTTCTTGTGTGCATTGGTAATAGTTGAATGAATGAATGAATGAATGCTCGCGAGGTGCCTACGACCAGAACGCACGCAGCGTAGAGGAGAATGACAGTCAACTTCTTTGAATATTAAAGGGATAGTTCACTTTGAAATTAATTTTTGATATGTTTATAGATTACCTCAAGGGCATCCAATATGGTGTCTCTGCAGTATTTTCAATTTTGACATTTTTAGGTAAAACTGTTCTTGTCTGTCAGTAACATAATGGAGATCTATGGGGTCCACCTCAAAGAGCATGCACAGAGAAGTCCAAATTAAACATGATTTAAAGACTTGTAAATGTAAGTACACATTGATGGCCTAAGACAGGAAACGAGCGGTTTGTGTGAGAAAACAAACAGTATTTATATCGTTTTTTTTTACCTCTTGTAACCACAGCCACGTCCAAGTGATCTGAAGGCACGGGCGCTTCGGTCTGCGCATGCGCCGGAAGTGATCTCTCGCACGCCTACGTCACTCTTTATTTATACATATTTTTATATATATATTTTAGGTGGCGTTTGTTCAACTCATTGACTGCAGTACATTGAAAGTAAACATAACCAAAAGTGATATGTATTATTTCCACACGGAAGATCGTGAAGTTCAGTGCAAGCGGTCCATTATATTTTATATATGCGTAATCTAGGATTTAAATAAATTTTCCACTTTTCCTGATATGTCACCAAATTATCTTAACACATTTTTCAATGGTTGTTCTCTTATTAATCCTGTCAAAGTCAAACCCTAAATTATTCTGACTTTAAATAAAAAAAATATTGTTATAAAATAATACTAGAAATATTGTTTTTTATTATGAAGTGAAAGGACAATGTGTTTTATGTAGAAACATTAGAATAGAAAACAATACATTTTCCCCGCTGTGAACAATGTAGGCAATGACAAGTAGTTCAGCTTCAGTCTCAAGCGCGTTCGAAAATGACGTCATAAAGAAGTTGAGCGTTGTCATGGTTCTTTGTGTTGTGTTTGCCAGTTAACTTAGTTCAGCCGTGTGAAACACATAGACTACAGTCAGTCTTCGTTGTTTGTTTTGCAGTTTATTTGATAAAGTTACCCAACTGGACGACTGTTATCATGGCAAAGCCCCTCGCTCCTCAGTGCGACTGCTCCCCCTCAACATCCAGAACCGACGCGGCTACTGCACCGAGAAATGAGAGAAGTGCTGAGGGTAAGTTAAATCAAATGACCATTACAAATCCATCCACACGACCACGCCTTATACCATAATTATACTTAAGTTTTTTTTCTTTTAATTCCAAGCCATGTCTTAAATATTAGGGGGGCGGGGGGAATCGATACAGCATAGTATACTATCGCGATATTTTCTGAGGCAATACTGTAAAATTATCTGTTTTACTTTCCGATTTTCTTCACTGGTTTCTTTATTTTTCACTGATTGAGAATATAGGTTGAATCCGAAATCGCCCCCTAAACAATCATTCACTAAGTTAGGCTTATTCCCTAAGTTAGTCGCTTGAAGGAGTGAATGAAAACGAGTGAGTGAATCCGGACAGCCGTTGAGCGTTGTGGGCTAGTTGCTACACGTTAATACTGCAATGCAGGACAGAGACGCGATCTGACACGCGTCCCATTTTCTCACAAATGTCCATTTAAGACTTTATTTAAATCATTTTAGACAGCTCTTATGAGGACATTTGACAAAACGGACTTTTTGGCATAATTTGTGTGTAATGATTTGCTCAAGCCGGAACGCCGGTAACACCGACTATCGTAGCAATCCTGGAGCTCAACATTCATGTGAGAGCGAGGTCTCCTCTCCTATTCAGAGAATAATTACGTCCTGTCCTGTGTCCTGAATGTTCAAGAACAAGTTTTTGCACTTCAGTCGAAGATAATGTTTACAGAATTAAATGTGACATTTAATTAAAATGAGTTGAGCAGTCTTATTTTGCTCATTTTTGTGATGTCTTTGAATAATATGGGGAACATGAATCGCAATATATTGCTTGTATGACAATATATATTGAGAATCGCAATAATATTGAATTGTGGCCCAAATATCGCGATACTATCAAATCGTCACATCGTTGCCAATTCCCACCCCTATTAAATATATAAACAAGATTTGTAAAAAAAACAAAAAAACAACAACAACAAAAAAAAAAAAAAATACAATTGTACAATACAATTTGGTTTACTGCCATATCTCAAATATTACTCTCACTGCTGTCCATGCTTGACAGAATGTCAACTATAACCATTAATCTTTTAACAGACGACATTCTGAGCCGGTTTAAAATCGGCAAAAAGCTTGGTGAGGGAGGATTCGGCAAGGTTTATAAAGGAAAGCGCTTGGCGGATGGACTTGAGGTATAGTCATTTCTTACATTTATCAATTTAGCAAATTCTTTTTCGTCTCACTATCCATTTCAAGTCCTTTTATTGTATATTATGTTCACTAGGCTATGTGTTGCAATTTAAATGTTTGTAAATGTAATTGTAATGAGCTAAATGTTTTGTTTTGTTGATCAGGTGGCAGTGAAATTTGTCAAAAAGTTCAGGAACATGGAATACGTCAAAATTGTAAGTTTGATCATGAAAACAACATTTTTCCAAAACTGGACAAACATTTTTTATTCTAAAATCTTATAAAAATCCTCCAACCAACAATGATCTTTCTTCCAGCCTGGTCATCCTACACCCGTCCCATTAGAGGTCGGCCTGTTAACCGCTGTTAATAGGGACCCCAAAGTTAAAGAGATCATTGAACTGCTGGACTGGCAGGACCAGCCTGACCAATATATCATGGTCTTGGAGCGTCCCCCACACTGCAAAGATGTGTTTCATTTTTGGAATAATCGCAAACGCATCCTCAGGGAGGAAACGGCACGGACTATCATGGCGCAGGCAACAACGGCTGCTCAGACGTGCTGTGACCGAGGAGTTTTCCACAGCGACATCAAGTTACAAAACCTGCTGATCAACAAAAAAACACGGGAGGTCAAACTGATTGACTTCGGGTGCGGGAGATTCCTGAAAAAGTCCGCCTATGACGAATTCTGTGGTATGTATTATGAATCAAGGTTTGAAAAGAGTTTTTATTTTTTAAATTTAGATGAATATGTTCTCACTAAATATGTCGCCTCACGCCTGGTTTGGCCATGGATTGATCTCACTTTTAAAACTCCAGAATTGTGAATAAAAACAACTAAATTATTCATTTACTCTAATGGATACAGAAGGTGTTGATACATGGGGCAACTTTTTTGAGCAATGTTGCAGAGCGATGTTCCTTGGGCGCTTTCTCATTGAGAATGGGCAACAAATTTCTGTCTGGGTACTTTAGATCGGTCATGGGCCCTGTATCTCACCTGGTTTCCTGTTAACGGCAACATTGCTCAATAAGTTGCCCCGTGTATCGTCTCCTAGAGAAAACATGCTATGGGATTTCAAGCTTAACCATCAGACAAATCTCTTTCTAGGAACAAGACCGTACTGTCCACCTGAGTTCGACAAAAGGGGCAATTACCACGGTAAACCAGCTACTGTGTGGTCTCTGGGAATGCTCTTATTCGAGATGGTTTGTGGACGCTTTCCAGAAGCCAAAGACCATCTGAGGATTAAGAAAAACATCTGGTCTGAGCGTCACTTGTCAAAAGGTAAAATTGCATTCATCACAAAAAAGATGATCAATTATAATTTCAAATCACCAAAATAGAACAAATGAAACAAAGAAGTAACAGTAACACCAAAACCAGAAAGCTTCATAAAATATGGCTGTTACCAGTTCCAGTTTTTTTTAACCGTACAGTATAGCGTAGTCTAATCTCACAGCTTAATAGAAAGATAGCAGATGTAAAGTTTAAGGTCTCTTCACAGATTGCTGCCACCTGATTCGACGCCTCCTGCGGGAAAACCCAAGACGGCGGATTGGTTTGGAGGAAATCATTTCCCATAAATGGTTTAAGGTAATGACCCTAACAAGCTAGAAATGAATTTGGATTTACAGGTGGAACTCGAAAAATTAGAAAATTTATTTCAGTAATTCAACTTAAAAGGTCAAACTAATATATGAGAGAGACTCATAACATGCAGAGTGTGATATTTCAAGCCTTTATTTGTTATAATTGTGATGATTATGGCGTACAGCTATGAAAACCTTTTCACAATATTCTAACTGAATTTGGGTTTCATCCATAATCATCACAAGTACAACAAATAAAGACTTGAAATGTCTCACTTTGCGTGTTATGAGTCTCTATGGTCTCGTTTACACTGCATGGTTTAAGTGACCGATTTCTTCCTCTCATGTAGCACAGATCGGATATGACCTGTGAACGTGTAAGCAGGAAAAAACGCATGGATTCCGATTTTCTTAGATCAGATTCAGGCCTCACTCATATGTGGTAATAAATCATATATGAATCGGATACGTGCATTCACGTGTGCCATGTAAGCAGACAAATCGGATATTCCCCAGTAAATACGAGACGTACGTCATCAAAAAGTGAGCGATTATAGGCGCGATGGAAGAAAGGATACACACAGTGGAGCAATGCGGAGGTTTCATGTCTTTTGAGTGTTTTGGGCGATGAGTGCAGGCAAAAATGCAGGGTTGTTACAGAAATAAATCTGTATTTGAAGACATTTCACGAGATAAATGAGGCATCGTTTTAGTAAGTGCTCGCTACAGTGCCTCTCCTCTTATTCTCCGGCGTACGAGACCAATGTTTTGATGACTTTTCAAAATATTGTGGAAAGAAAAACACTGGATAATTTTATTCGCATCTGCATCCATTGAAGTTTGTGCTGTTTTACTTAATTTCCCGGGTCAGAACGTCTGCATTTGGTAGTTTCAGCAGTGTATAGTGTAAATGCAAAAATCGGATATGGGTCACTTTTAAAAGATGATGTAAGCGGGTTGTCAATAAAATCAGATATAGTCAGAAAATTGGATTTGGGCATCAAGACCTGCAGTGTAAATGCAGCCTATAACAAATTACTTTTACCCTCGCTCAGGTGTGCGACTCCCCCTCAACATCCAGAACCGACGCGGCTACTGCACCGAGAAATGAGAGAAGTGCTGTGGGTAAGTTAAATCAAATGACCATTACAAATCCATCCACACCACCACACATTATACCATAATTAAACTTTAATTCCAAGACATGTCTTAAATATCTAAACAAGTTTTGTTAAAAAAAGAAACTACAATTGTACAATACAATTGGTTTTACTGCCATATCTCAAATATTAGACTCACTGCTGTCCATGCTTGACATTTCATGTCAACTATAACCATTAATCTTTTAACAGACGACACTCTCAGCCGGTTTAAAATCGGCGAAATCCTTGGTGTGGGAGAATTCGGCAAGGTTTATAAAGGAAAGCGCTTGGCGGATGGACTTGAGGTATAGTCATCTTACATTTATCAATTTAGCAAATTCTTTTTCATCTCACTATCCATTTCAAGTCCTTTTATTGTATATTATGTTCACTAGGCTATGTGGTGCAATTTACATGTTTGTAAATGTAATTGTAATGGGCTAAATGTTTTGTTTTGTTGATCAGGTGGCAGTGAAAATTGTCAAAAAGTCAAAGAACATGGAATACATCAGAATTGTAAGTTTGAGCATGAAAACAACATTTTTTCCAAAACTGGACAAACATTTTTTATTCTAAAATCTTATAAAAATCCTCTAATCAACAATGATCTTTCTTCCAGCCTGGTCATCCTACACCCGTCCCATTAGAGGTCGGCCTGTTAACCGCTGTTAATAGGGACCCCAAAGTTAAAGAGATCATTGAACTGCTGGACTGGCAGGACCAGCCTGACCAATATATCATGGTCTTGGAGCGTCCCCCACACTGCGAAGATGTGTTTCATTTTTGGAATAATTGTAATCGCATCCTCTGTGAGGAAACGGCACGGACTATCATGGCGCAGGCAACAACGGCTGCTCAGACGTGCTGTGACCGAGGAGTTTTCCACAGCGACATCAAGTTACAAAACCTGCTGATCAACAAAAAAACACGGGAGGTCAAACTGATTGACTTCAGGAGCGGGAGATTCCTGAAAGAGTCCGCCTATGACGACTTCTGTGGTATGTATTATGAATCAAGGTTTGAAAAAGTTTTTATTTTTTAAATTTAGATGAATATGTTCTCACTAAATATGTCGCCTCACGCCTGGTTTGGCCATGGATTGATCTCACTTTTAAAACTCCAGAATTGTGAATAAAAACAACTAAATTATTCATTTACTCTAATGGATACTAGGGGTGTAACGGTACACAAAAATCACGGTTCGGTACGTACCTCAGTTTTAAAGTCACGGTTCGGTACGTACCTCAGTTTTAAAGTCACGGTTCGGTACGTTTTCGATACAGCAAAAAGAAAGAAATGCCAGAAAAATTTCCTATTTGTTTAAAGAAAAAATATTTTTAAATAAGTGTGAGTTTTCCTAGATCTTGAAACTTTCAGGTTTATAAATGGGGGTCATCTTTGAAGGGTGAACAAATAATGTTTTGGTCATCACATTAAAAATAACATTTAAATATATATTTATATATATAATATTTGAATTTTGAAGTGCTGGTAAAAGATGTGTGAAGTACTTGAAAGCATTTCACCATTCCAGCCAAACTGGTTCCAGTTAGTGTTACTATATTAAATCCATGGTGAATGTTGCTGGTCTGTGGACGTAAAGTTCATTCACGGCACAGTGTTTCTCCTGGTTTCCATGACAGCGCTGTTTGATCTAATAGAGATCTACGGTTAATAACGGAGAAATGTGAATGCATCTCACTAGATCTCGCAGCGATGTTATTACCCGAGTGGCGAATTCAAATGTTTTCTTTACCGGATCTCTTAGCGCTGTGTAGTAACAGTGTCGCTTGGTCGAGATCGGCTCGCGCTGCACAGATGTTGCTGGTCCGAACTGATAAACGATCCGTGAAGCACATTTATAGCGCAGTTTCGTTCTGCTTTCATTACGCTTGCCATTTGATGTTGCGCAACGTTGTGTTGGCCGCGTCAGCACGAATTTTGCCGGCAGGAAAAATGGTCCAAGCAATCGTTCGGTTTGTATGCGTACCGAACCGGAAGCCTCGAACCGAAACGGTTCAATACGAATACATGTACCGTTACACCCCTGATGGATACAGAAGGTGTTGATACATGGGGCAACTTTTTTGAGCAATGTTGCAGAGCGATGTTCCTTGGGCGCTTTCTCATTGAGAATGGGCAACAAATTTCTGTCTGGGTACTTTAGATCAGTCATGGGCCCTGTATCTCACCTGGTTTCCTGTTAACGGCAACATTGCTCAATAAGTTGCCCCGTGTATCGTCTCCTAGAGAAAACATGCTATGGGATTTCAAGCTTAACCATCAGACAAATCTCTTTCTAGGAACAAGACCGTACTGTCCACCTGAGTTCCACACAAGGGGCAATTACCACGGTAAACCAGCTACTGTGTGGTCTCTGGGAGTGCTCTTATTCGTAATGTTGTGTGGACGCTTTCCAGAAGCCAAAGACCATCTGAGGATTAAGAATAACACCTGGTCTATGTTTCACTTGTCCAACGGTAAAATTGCATTCATTATAAAAAAGATGATCAATAATAATTTCAAATCACCAAAATAGAATGTTAAGGCAAAAATTCAATAAACAGACATCACTTCGTAAGAGACACTCTGAGTCAAATTAATAAAGGAAAAGGTTTATTATTCTTGCAAGAACAATAAGGCTCAATCACCAACACAGATCACTGCGAAGTGGAGTGACGCCCAGAACACAGGCCGGGGTGAAGACTAAATAGCCCTCCCCAAGGTTATTTACTGCAAGCCGAGCCTTCTCTGTAAATTTCCACAAAGTTATAGGATTCATGATGCCAGGTTAGATTTACTAACCCCCTCAACCCCTCCCAGTCTAAGATGACCCCTGACCCGGCCGGTCCTCTGGTGCCTAGCTCCACTCTTGATAAGGGAGAACAATTAATACATGTGAGATTAAAATTTCCACAACAATTCCCCCCTGTTTATCATTAGGTTACCCATAATCATAATAATAAACAAAGACAAATTTTAAGCCCAACATCACATTTATACCCTTCAATTGATTTTCGCATAAATGATCACTCTGCTTAAACATCTGTTGAAAAAATAGTATTTGTAAAAGAAGAAAGCTTAAGGCTGTTTTTGCGGAGTAAAGCTCCATTAATTGTCTAGCAAGCAAGTAAAGCATTTTATTTGAAGCCGGGCTAAATGAATAATCACTGTTATTGCACTCCTGATAAAAATCAGACCCTCAGTCACTCCAAATATATAAGAAATAGGTTATAGATTAGCAAGAAAAACAACCAACAAAACCCCATAATTGTTCCAATATGATATTAAAATACACCAAAATGCAGCAGTCCTATATCGCTACAATTGGCAGTACCGTCTGGATTATCCAGTACACCCATCCTCCCCACATAGACATGAACCACCCAACCCATGCCCCATTAGCATGTTCAGGCTCCTTTACCACCTGTCTCATGTGTTCAATCCACCAGTTATGTTGTCACTATAGTCTGCAATGTTAAAACAAGACTTCTAATTCAATTTAGTAAGCCCTATTGAATGCTGTTTAACAAATCTTACCAGATAAGACTTATAATTTTATCCTTTCCTGTAACCAAAATTAGTTGTTCAAAATGAACTCTAATATCTCTAGTACAGACACATCGATCAATACATTTCCTATATTTGCACCAATCAAATCAATACGATCAATACATTTCCTATATTTGCACCAATCAAATCAATACTTAGTTTGATTCAAACAAAATCATCACAGAAACAGATTCTCCTGTTAAACTTAAACCATCAGTTGGCAGGTGGTTCCTCCAGGTGTGTTGATCATCTCGTTCGCCCCATGGACGTTCCATGTTCACCAGGGTGACACTTTGCGTGCCGTCGCAATGGTCTTCCCACGTCGGGAGGGAGGCTGTTACTAGCACTAGCCTTTGACCCCTCACTTTATGCTCTATTGGATGGTTGAGGCCTGCTGGTGTTGTCTTGAGGTGAGAGGCTTGGACCCAGTTGTCACATTCTCTGATCCTTTCAAGGTTTCCCTTAATTCACGACCGCACCCCCACTGGAGTGAACCATTTCTTGCCTGCTTTCACCTGCGAACAGAGACCTTAACTATTCTTGTTAGTGACAACATCTATTAACTCATCTGCTTGTCTGGCCGGTCTTCCCCTTTTAATGTGACCTGTGGAATCAATAACCTGAAACTGGATCTTAATATCATTCAGAGTCCTTTTTCCTCTGGGAAACATTCAACATATTGCTCATGTCCTCAACATAACGTTTATACATTTGAAACAGAATCAGTTCTGTTTGCTGCAATCCATCCTGAGATTCTGTAAAAGGAAAATCTTAGTTATGCGCTGCGCAGGTGTGACACCGTTCCGTCACACTAATAAACCAGGCCAGGGTAGTTAGCCAAATTCATCCCTAGCCATTATTTTATTAGACACATTCTGCTCATGTCTTAAAAGTCCGCATGATCTGTAGAGAAAAACAAATGTCGAGGTTATTTTCAGATACACGTAGTTTCCTTTGTCTGTTGTGCTGCCATGGCCTTCGCTGCTGCCTCTGCCCTGGCGTCTCCTGTTAAACAGTCCTGAAATTGTGTTATCAGCGTGTGCAGCCCACTTATAGACAGCAACATTGCCCCACCTGTGCAATGGCTTTCAGCAAATTTGAACCCCTCAGTAAACCCATATTTGGCAATTGTTACCATCCCCCTTTTGATGCATGACCTAGCTCATGCATCAATTCAAATTAATCTAATTCTCCAATCAACACTAACCCAAACATCATCCTTCAACCAATTTTCGCCCAGACATCTTTCTCTGCCTCTGAAACAAAAATATTACTTAAAGGCCCAATCTCACCTTCTTATCGAAGTTTTTTGAAGGGCAACGGCCCTGAGTCTCACAGCGAATCCTGCTTTTCAGGCCTGTTGTTTGGTCTCTCAAGTCAGTTATCTACAAACATTTCCAAAGTCATCAATTGTTTCTATCAGGTCAGGTCGTGCTGTACAGACTTAGTCTATGTCAGTCAAACATGTCAGTTCAGTTCATAATTGTTAAGGACTCTCTTAATAATTCGATATTAACTTAGCCATTTTTCTTTGTTGTTGCCGTCAAATCTACACCCCTTTCGGTGATCTCAACCCCTGACAGACGTCCGTCAACAAATTCACAATTCCAATTTACAACTACATCATGAATGACAAAACTATTACTACTAGACAGAGCTTGATGACCAATCAACTTAAAGTTAGTCAGAATTTTCCTTTAAAGTTTGTCATTTGCCTTGGCCCATCTGTGATGATAAAACTCACAAAAGCATAAAATGCTTTCACTATTAAACACAAACACACACACACACACACATACCTGACTATGAACTGCATATTTTCATATTCAAATCTTTCGAATAAGATTTTAAGCTTTACATTTTCTTGTAACCTTTACCTAAATTTACATGGTTTCTAAACCATCTTTCAAAGCATGTCTGTTCATTATTCATTCGAATTTAACAAGGTCAGCTGGTTGTTTTGGTTCATTATCATTATTTTGCTTTAGCAGGCCAATAACAGAAAGACAGACACAGTTCCCTTCCTCCACTCAAGTCCCTCTCACTATAACAAAATAATCTTTTCAACAGCCTCCTAAGACTGTAACTTTAGACAACATTTAAACTCATTACAATATCCTTTGACCATTCACCTTTGTTATCTAGACTCTTCTTAAATCTACAAAAGCTGTCTTCATCTTTAGTCACCACCATGTCTAACGACCTCCAGGAGTCAAAATTATGTTAGACATATTCTAAATCTACACTATAATTTTCCTTGCCCATAAGGTAACCGACATCCAAAGGTTTTGTTACTGTCTCCACAACAACAAATGGGAATCACTTCATGGCCCTGACTGAACCCGAAGCCCCCTTCCTGTTAGCTCTTTATCTATAATCTCCATCAGGGTGTGGTCCCCTGGCATACATAGAGCTTGTCATAATGAGAAACAAGCCATGCAGTGAATGCGGTTTCTGGTGAGTGGGATAGAGGGACTTACGTTTTCTGGGGCAGACTGCCGTGACTCCTCACAGCTCCATCCCCCCTAACGATACAGGATGCTGTTGGCCTCGCAGACACCCGTCCACTCTCATACCCAACCTCACATAAACACCTCCATCAGGAGATGCCCAGTGTCTGCGTGATCCCCCTGCCTTAGGTTGCCTCCTATTCGGCCAAAGAAGGTCTTACCCGTCATCGAGATGACCACTCGTGCACACATGGTAACCGCCAATTTCTCAAAACCGTTTTCTTCAACAAAATCTGTTGTTTCTGGAGCTTAGGAAAAATATTCGAGAGTCACCAGGGCCATTCGGATTTCCTAATAGTTGTAACACAGGGAGACAGGTTAATAACAGCAGTATTCAATCACTTAAATCCATTAACCTTCTTAAAAGCAGCAACTAGCTACTCAGTGGATTTAGATCACAACCGTACATTCAGTGCACTTCATCTGTAGGCGGAGCCATCAGGCCCGCCCCCGTTTCATGGTGGGGACTAAGATCTTCAGACAAATAAGTTATTGGTTCACAAACAACCTAGTCAAAGATATATCTTCGTTTCGTCTATTATTATTTTAATGACTTCTTGAAAGTCCTTCAGTTTTGCTTTTAAAACATCTAAAATACAAATTGCCTCTGAATGGCAATGATTTCTCTTAACATCTCTGTGTCTATGATCTTCAACTGAAACACTGTGTTTTAATACAAATAGCTTATTATCACTAATGACACAGGCTCAGATAACATCTTTAGCTGACATTGAATGAGAGAGAGACTGTGAGAGATTCAGGACTGGTACTGCATGCTCATAAACTTCTAACATCAAACTTTATATTCTATTCCAGCTTAAGGCATCTTTGCCAGAAATTACATACGGTTTCAAATAAACATTATTTACATTTGTCTTTTGCTCACATCAGGGAATTTAATCATTACTAATTTCCTCTCAGATTGAGTCTCTGTTGCACTGGCAGTTTTCAGCCACAGTACACATCAGATTCAGATAAGCAAACTGTTTCATTACAGCCCAAAACAAACTTATCTTTTGAAAGCTAAACATCAGCTTCTAGTTCTTTCATGGTCAACTTCTCAAGTTGTTTGTTTAATCAGCATTCAACAACTGCTAATAAAGTACTGCTTCTGCTTATTTGTTCTTAAATAAAAATAATTATTCTAGTTCTCAATAATGTTTCTCATTTCTCAATCTCAATTTTAATCGTCAAGTTCTCAACCATAGTTTAATATTTGACTTAAGTTTTCTCTTGGAGTTTATCAGTCTCCAATTAGGATTCACACTAACTTTGACGAGGCAAGCACTCTCTGCTTGTGATACTTTTGCAGTTATTGTAAATCATCTGTGCGATTATTCTCTCTATATCATCTAAAACCTTTTTAAAATGTTTAATTAAAACACATTCATCCTTTTAGTTACTTTGATATATTTTGCAACTTACATTTGTTGGAGTCATTCATTTTACATCAAACTGTAGGCCTATCAATTCACTTTTAAAAATTACTATCATAGATCCTTTCTTTAAAAGTATTCACTTTAAAACTTCAATCTTTTGACCTTGTTTTTATCTCTCATTTCTCAGACAAAAAATTGTAATGTCGTCATTTAAACACGGATCTACTTCCAAACCCACATTAATACCAGAAATGTGTTGTCTGTCACATTTTAAAACACATTCTCTGTGGGCATTTACAGTTACGCGTTAAATGATCCTGCTGACCACAATTAATACACTCTCTATCTGCTCCAACTTACTGAACACACTTGAAGCAGTGTGTCCCACTCAGGAATGCACACAGAGCCACTGATAAGCAGTTCTCTGTATTCTTTTACAGTCCACCAGTGGCGGATTTAATCACAATAGTCCAATCATAATCTTCTTCATTATTATTGACAGAACATTAATTTTCATAAGCTGCATCGAAATGCTCAAAATATTCGAAGTTGTTTTCACAAAGTTTCTTGACTACTTTGGTCACTTGTCCTGGGAAATTATCCCTGACCCAAAATTATCAAAATTTTATAAAACAGTAGCTTATTTCAATGTCAATCATCCTTACTGATTTCCAGAATCTTTGGACATAGCTGTCTTAACATTTTTACATTCATGATGAACGCAGCCACAACAGCCTGTTTGCTTTTCGCTGCCCTGTTCCACTGATTTCTTCACTAGCCTACCTTTAGCCTGGTAGCGCTCAGTGTTCCCTCACTGGGAAAATCATGATACTTTATCAATTTTCTATATCCACACATTTCTGCCCATAATGTTTTCTCATTTGACCAAAACACCGGTGTATCATATCTGGCAAGCTTGTTCTGAGATTTCCCCATACTGGCTGTTTCTATTTCCCCTGTGGATTTTCCTTTGACGCGTCTAATAATCTGTCGGACGTCTCCAACAGATCCGATCTCTTTACCCAAGATCGGTCAAGGTGCACTCCCAGCGCTTTATCTACTGGAAATCTTTTGACCCCGCTGCAGATCTTCAATTACCCCACAGATTAGAGTCCACCTGAAATCTCTTGACCTGCTTTCAGCTCTCAAGTGATCTCGGACCGTAATCTGGGCGAAATCTCTGACCTGACAAATGTCAATTAATTTCAGATTTACGAAAACTCAGTGTCCATATGAAATTTCTTGACCTGACAACAGGTCTCAATTAATCTTGGACTACTCTCTTATTCGCAATTTACGAAAACTCAGTGTCCATATGAAATTTCTTGACCTGACAACAGGTCTCAATTAATCTTGGACTACTCTCTTATTCGCAACCACCGAAATAGACCCCAGCCAGTACAGTTCCTCTCAATTATATACCCAATATAAAATGAATTTAGCTGTGTCTTACCAGGATGTCTTTTCTCTGTGCCTCGGGTTCTTTTTTATTCCAGTGGAGCCTCTCCTGGGCCTGATAGCGGTCGGCCCCTCTCTCTCAAGCTTACGAGGTAGAGCTGGAACTGCTCAGTCCAGGTGGCCAAACACCGTCCGCTCTCAGGTCCAGAAGGCACTTCCAAGGAATCCCATCCTTCTGACACCAATTGTTAAGGCAAAAATTCAATAAACAGACATCACTTCGTAAGAGACACTCTGAGTCAAATTAATAAAGGAAAAGGTTTATTATTCTTGCAAGAACAATAAGGCTCAATCACCAACACAGATCACTGCGAAGTGGAGTGACGCCCAGAACACAGGCCGGGGTGAAGACTAAATAGCCCTCCCCAAGGTTATTTACTGCAAGCCGAGCCTTCTCTGTAAATTTCCACAAAGTTATAGGATTCATGATGCCAGGTTAGATTTACTAACCCCCTCAACCCCTCCCAGTCTAAGATGACCCCTGACCCGGCCGGTCCTCTGGTGCCTAGCTCCACTCTTGATAAGGGAGAACAATTAATACATGTGAGATTAAAATTTCCACAACAAGAACAAATGAAACAAAGAAGTAACAGTAACACCAAAACCAGAAAGCTTCATAAAATATGGCTGTTACCGGTTCCAGTTTTTTTTTAACCGTACAGTATAGCGTAGTCTAATCTCACAGCTTAATAGAAAGACAGCAGGTGTAAAGTTTAAGGTCTCTTCACAGATTGCTGCAAACTGATTCGACGCCTCCTGCAGAAAGACCCAGCCCAACGGATTGGTTTGGAGGAAATCATTTCCCATAATTGGTTTAAGGTAATGACCCTAATAAGCTAGAAATGAATTTGGATTTACAGGTGAAACTCGAAAAATTAGAAAATCATGCAAAAGTTAATTTATTTCAGTAATTCAACTTAAAAGGTCAAACATATATGATAGAGAGACTCATAACATGCAGAGTGTGATATTTCAAGCCTCTATAACATATTAGTTTCACCTTTTAAGTTGAATTACGTAAATAAATGAACTTTTGCACAATATTCTAATGTTTCGAGTTTCACCTGTATATTAATATTTGGAAGACAGTTTTTTTTTGTCTATTTGTTTGATATGTTCTTAGTTTATTGTGAAACAGGAAAAGGTCAAATCTCTTATATGTGTAATGTATGTTTATCATCAACCTGTTAGAAAGGGAAGCGATAGTCAGGAGAGACAGAAGAGGAGGAGTAGGTCGGAGCAGCAGCTGAGGTCAGGGTCAGAAAGTGGACGATCAGACCGCTGCAGCCACTAGCGAGAGAAGTTTTCTGTTTATTAGAGCTCTGTACATCATTTTCAGAAAGATTAATGCAATCCCATATATACCTGGAAAACTGGCATGCCACCTGCCAATTAAATAATCCAAGAAAGTGAAAACGTGTATTTCTGTTACTGTGAATAATGGCGAAAGGTGAAATGTATATTTTTCTTCTCCAATTTTTTTTTTCCCCAAAACAGTTGCTGTCAAAACCCAAATTTAATGGAGTGGAGAAGATCAAAACATGGACATACATGGCTGCTACGGGACTGAATGTGACCCCTGGACCGGATTACGCACAGGTACTCTGTTTCTCTGTCCAGGTCGTATCCAGATTGAGTCGACGCGGCTGAAAATCATCAACCATTTGAGGAAAATGAGATGCCGATGAGAAAGAGGACAAGGACGGGAAGTTTTGTGAAGCTGCCGTCTCTTCATTATCGCAGCTCAGACCAGACCACTGCACCGATAAATGAGAGAAGTGCTGAGGGTAAATCAAATGACCATTACAAATAAGAATCACCATAATGGGTATGCAGTGTGTAATTATTATGTATTTCACACAGAACAGTTAGATATTGAGCTGACACTTTTTATCCAAAGCATCATTTATTTGAAACGTGAAATTCTCTACTGGACAGTGCCTGTGCTCTAGAGGATCATGGTCTTCAGATACCTCTATCCAGTGGTCTTGAAGTCGTTCCTCCTGTAGATCCGCAGGTTCAAACCCCTTCAGCTCCAGTCCACCACAGTCCAGCACCAGATCACAGAGTGGACGTAACAACTGAGGTTGAGTTTACTGCCACATCTCAAATATTACTCTCACTGCTGTCCATGCTTGACATTTCATGTCAACTATAACCATTAATCTTTTAACAGACGACATTCTGAGCCGGTTTAAAATCGGCAAAATGCTTGGTTTTGGAGGATTCGGCCAGGTTTATGAAGGGAAGCGCTTGGAGGATGGTCTTGAGGTATAGTCATTTCTTACATTTATCAATTTAGCAAATTCTTTTTCGTCTCACTATCCATTTCAAGTCCTTTTATTGTATATAATATTCACTAGGCTATGTGGTGCAATTTACATGTTGTAATTGTAATGGGCTAAATGTTTTGTTGATCAGGTGGCAGTGAAAATTGTCAAAAAGTCAAAGAACATGGAATACATCAGAATTGTAAGTTTGATCATGAAAACAACATTTTTCCAAAACTGAACAAACATATTTTATTCTAAAATCTTATAAAAATCCTCTAATCAACAATGATCTTTCTTCCAGCCTGGTCATCCTACACCCGTCCCATTAGAGGTCGGCCTGTTGTTAATAGGGGCCCCAAAGTTGAAGAGATCATTGAACTGCTGGACTGGCAATTATTTTTTCCCTAAAAATTTCACTCTATTTTTTTTCTCAACAGTTGCTGTCAAAACCCAAATTTAATGGACTGGAGAAGATCAAAACATGGACATACATGGCTGCTACGGGACTGAATGTGACCCCTGGACCGGATTACGCACAGGTACTCTGTTTCTCTGTCCAGGTCGTATCCAGATTGAGTCGACGCGGCTGAAAAGCATCAACCATTTGAGGAAAATGAGATGCCGATGAGAAAGAGGACAAGGACGGGAAGTTTTGTGAAGCTGCCGTCTCTTCATTATCGCAGCTCAGACCAGACCACTGCACCGATAAATGAGAGAAGTGCTGAGGGTAAATCAAATGACCATTACAAATCCATCCACACCAACACCATTATACCATAATTAAACTTAAGTTTTTTCTTTTAATTCCAAGACATGTCTTAAAAATTGTTAAAAAACTAAACTGTTACAATAATCATGTTACAATCAATGCTACAATAATCGTTACATCATAAGAAGAATGGCATCTATGCTAATTTTAGTGTCTTTGTTTATTCCGAGGTTTTCCCGCAGCCTGCCGGATCCAGGCCGTATCCAGATCTGACGAGGACCTTAGCCTGGACACGATGACAATGACAATGCAGTGCTGAAGTGCCAACTAGCCTCTCCCTATGGAGGATCCCTTTCCCACTCTACAGATTAAGCGATGTGAATTCGTTTCGCGTCCCTACCCTGAAGTGATTCGAAAATCTGTATCAAATTTATAGACAAGAAGTTTGTTCAGGCATGAGGGAATTTAAAAACCTGCGCGCATATATTCAAACGCACATAACTATTGAATCAATTCTTAATGCGCATGTGAACGTCATCAGCAGGGCTGTTACTACCAATTTATCACAGGTTCGCGTTTAAAGTCTATTTAGAAACATTCATATACATTTTTACGTGACAGTTACTGTAAATTCGGCCTCTAGTTCATAAACGCCAGAGGAGAACTGGCCCCCGACTGAGCCTGGGTTCTCCCAAGGTTTTTTTTCCTCCATCGGGTCACCTGATGGAGTTTTTCAGTTCCTTGCCACTGTCGCCTTTGGCTTGCTCAGTTGGGGATATTCAAATCAATTATACTACAGGGCTGTTGAACGCTTGATTCTGATTGGTTGAGAACGTTCTAAAGGTGTGCAATTATTTTGACGGCTAAAGTAGTTTCAGGCAAGTTTGAACCGCATTACAGTTCCATATCACTGCGCGTAGTTAACGGAAAATAGGATACAATTCATAACAAGAGAAGACATGCAGCCCCATGCGCTTGATCTGCAATTTTCGATGTCTAACTTCACAATCAATGACACATACAGTTTAATTTTAATAAATAAAGTATAGTCCTATCTATAATAGGCTAAATAGAAAATTAAACTGAATAGGCTATATAAATAAATTAATAGTCCTACTGCACGGATTTTCGTAATTATTCCAGATAATATAACAAATAAATAATTATTGCTAGGCCTACTTGTAAAAAAGTGCTTTGTGTGTTTCATTTATTGGGTTATCTACTGTCAATTATAGAAAACAATAATGAACGAATTAATTAAAACAAAGTTAATAAATAAATAATAATTTTGACGCACATGCTTTTCTGTCTCATTATTTCAGCGTCTATCTCTCTCTCTCTATAATAACTGCATTAATTTGTTCCTTCATCTGAATTAGTACAAATGTGTTTAAACCTCCATAAGGTGTCTTTCTGGTACTGTTCAAGATTCAGTTTTAAATTAACGGGGCTATAGACCCCTTTTGCGCCGACGTCACAGTTACGTCACGGCGCTAGCTGGAGGCAAAACCAGAGCCTGAATACATGGCTCTGGGCAAAACAAAGTGAAAACTGGAGGCGGCCAATACAAAACAGCACAGATTCGGCTACATAATAAGGAGCTTAAATAATTGTTACTATTATTAAATGTCATCTTGTGGTGTTGTCTGGTGCAAGAATTGATGAAAAATGAATATGCTGTATCTGGAACTTTTATTTCTAGAAAATATTCACCTCATTAAAATCGCACTGTAATGTCACTCTTTACATTGTCGTGGTCTCGGCGCTGGTTCAGCAGAACTGCGGATCGTACACACAAGTCTTGTACAGGACCATATAGGCATCTAAAGATTTATATGCCTCAGTTTCTCTTTACGATCGGTTTCTCTGTAAGGTAGGTGTAGAAGTCAGGGCACTCAACCGAGGTAACGTACATTAATCCTGTCAGATCATCCATGCATTGAGTGAGTGTGTAGGCGGCTACAGGTCGGCCAATCTGGTTCTGTCTGTTAAAAATAACTTTTGGAAATAACAATCGCGGTCCTGGACACTGAGTGACCTTACACATTAAGATGATATCGGATTTTCTCCAGTCACTGTTAAAAAACAAGCTAACAATCCTTGCTAACTAGCGTTAGTGAAGCGGCTAGAGGGATCTTTCTGCTTCCACCTAAGCTCCGCCCACAAAAAACGTCACCGTGTTTACCAACTGAAAAGGGGACGGGTCTATGGTCTGAAAGGTCCATGCTCCCTACGTCACAGCCAACTACCCTATTTAGATCTTGAGAAAAAGTAAAAAAATAAAATCAATCCTCGAGTACGCCAAGTGTGGATTTGAACAAAAAGTGTAGTCTCTCTTTGAAGGGTTTAATTCTCTCCAGATATCAATTAACCCAATTGCTCTCATAGACAAATTCATTTGTGTTGTTGTTTATCAAATTGGGCTGGACTGTGTGTGTATTTGAGGCGTCCAGTTTGGGATTAAGTCTAATGTTGAGATCCCCCCCCCCACAAATTAGAACCCCCTGGGTCTCTGCTGTTAGATATATGAGTTTGCATACACCTTCTGGTGCTACTTGGACACGTCATCAGTAAAGTACCCGGGGTCATAGGGTGTTTCGGGTCTTTAATCTCTATACACCCTCTATACACCCTCTGCCTTTCTGCTGTTATGAAGAAAAATGGCGTTCGTCAGGTCCAGTTTTGTATCCAGCCTCTCACGGGGATTTCGGATGCCCCAACGCCTGTGATGAGAGGACCAACGCCTGTGAAGAGACGACTCAACGCCGGCGATATGTTATGGCGCCGTTTTATACATAAACAATATTTATATTTAAAATTTATATATAAACAATATGAATGTAAGCCAGAGGAGAACTGGCCCCGACTGAGCCTGGTTCTCCCAAGGTTTTTTTCTCCATCCAATCTGATGGAGTTTGGTTCCTTGCCACTGTCGCCTTGCTTTTGGCTTGCTTTGAGCTTGCTCAGTTGGGGTTATTTAGTGTTTAGCAATGTTGTTGATCCTGTGTTGTACTACTTTCATGTTATCACTGTGAAGCTGCTTTGATACAATCTGTATTGTGAAAAGCGCTATATAAATAAATGTGACTTGACTTGACCCTCACCCGGGCGACCCAGCCTGGGGTGATCAGTCCCTGGCTTGTGTCCAAGTGGCATGTTGCTCCACGTTTCCCCCCTACGGATCCACAGCCACAGAGAAGCCCTCTCTGCGGCCTCTAAGATGTTTGTGGTGGCCTTCTTCAACTGCAGTCCTTTCACTCCAAGGAGTTTGAGGGCTCGCAGCGTTGAGCGACCAGCGAAGCCTTCGGCACCCGACCTCGACTGGCTCGCAGCGAGCTTTCCAGCCGTTGTCAAGTCAAGTCACATTTATTTATATTGCGCTTTTCACAATACAGATTGTATCAAAGCAGCTTCACAGTGATAACATGAAAGTAGTACAACACAGATCAATATTGTTAAATATTAAAGGTTCTCTAAGCGATGTGGGGCCAAAACATTTTTTGTCACATACATCAAACGTCTCCTCACTATCGGCTAGCTGCCTGTCCCCTAAACACACTGTAAAAAAACGCGGTCTCTGTAGACACCACAGGCTCCACAAACGGCAACAAAAACAATCATGTCTCACCCGGACCACGAAACCTAACAAACAGTGTTCCAGCCAATCACTGGCAAGAAGTATTTGAGGGTGGGTCTGGGGGGTTAGTGTGCGTGCACATGAAGGGGGTGTGTGTGTGTGAAGGAGAGCGAAGAGCATCAGAGGGAAGTTTGAAAAATGGCCGACACACGACCAAAGAGACGTCGTTCTGAAGAACAATTTAAAAAGAAGGAGTCGGATAAAGAACGTGCGAAGTTCCGAATTTACATCGGTAGCAAAGCTTTTGAACTCCGGCGGCAGAAGGGCTTCCAGTCCGACATTCAGGTTGCTCTGTTTTTGCTTGACAGGTGGGTAACGTTACATTGTTTTTTTTTCTTCTAAATTGACGCTTATGTTCGCCAAACCCACACAAGGATATAATTAGCTAGAACTATGCACGTTCACAATTATTTGAAGCACGGAAGGGAGGGGGAGGAGATGAGATGCGGAGGAGGGAGGGTCTAGCTAGCCTCCGATTTGTTTGAAAATATTCCGAACGTCAACACCCAGGATCGCTTAGACAACCTTTAAATATTTATTAAATAAGAACTGAACTGAAGTAGTTGAAGGAGATCGCAATTCTCGCGCATGCGTCGTGGAAATCGTATTGAAGTCTCGTTTCAGGCCATCAAGGAAGAAAAGAAATAGTCGAATAAGGTTGTTATTTTTGTTTGTTTTTTCGCACAAAAAGTATTCGCGTCGCTTGATAAACTTATAGTTGAGCCACTGTAGTCACATGGGATATTTAAACATTTTCTTCATTGACTTTCTGGGCCGTCAAGAGTCATTCCCTTAGGAGCCAATGTGGTAGTGGGACAGCTCTCAAATTTAATCAAAAATATCTTAATTTGTGTTCTGAAGATGAACGAATGTTTTACGGGGTTGGTACAGCATGGGGGTGAGTAATTAATGACTTAATTTTCATTTTTGGGTGAACTAACCCTTTAATGTCAAAAACTTGACAAACGTCTTGATATGAGTCACCTGAACAATGTGTTGAGGTGTAACTGTAGTATAAGCGGAATAATTGACTTCAGGCCGTTGAATTATCCGAAAAATGCACACCCGATGTCACGGTTGGTAATCCTATGACTTCTTCGTGTCTCGTGTTTCTGTTGTCCTATGTGTGTGTGCTGATCTGATCAGATCAGAGGGGCGTGGCCGCTCATCAGCGCTCATTGAGCAATCACTCGGCTCGGTACCAAGCGTGCCGCACAAGCCCTCAAAAGTGAAGCCAAAACGTCTCGTCATATCCTTTTTCCAAAGATAGTTTCTGTCATTTACTGTAGTTTCTATCTCGTTGATGTAATTTCAAGTGTTCGTTTTTAAAATAAGTTTGTTTTTAGTTAGTTATGTCATGATAAAAACGGTGCTCTGGCATCATGATTGACTGCTGTGATTGACAGGTTGACCAACTCATAAAGTGGTTCTATCTGTGAACATTTCTTACATTTAACATTACAGCATTTTGAAAAAGTGAAATCAATAATCAAGGACAAATGGCTGTGTTGAAAACCCTGTCACACTTGTTTGTTTCCGGTCAAAAACGATTGGCTCCGAGGCCTTTGTTTTTGCAAGCACACATGTGAACATGGACATGATGAACACACTCCTAACTGTTTCTCTGATTTTCGACTCAACCATTCATTTTCAATGGGGAGTCATTTTTGAAATCGAATTTCCTGGGTAAACATTAAAGCACACTAGTGTGATAAACAGTGCAATTTATTTCATAATTAATGTGAAACTGACCAAATTATCTGAAAATTATCAAAAAATATCAAAAAGTGGTTACAAGAGGTAAAAACAATATAAATACGCTCGTTTTCTCACACAAACCGCTCGTTTCGTGTCTTAGGCCATCAATGTGTACTACATTTACGAGTCATTAAATCATGTTTAATTTGGACTTCTCTGTTTATGCTCTTTGAGGTGGTGACCATAGACCTGCATTATATGACTGACAGACAACAACGGTTTGACCTAAAAAAAACAAAATCAGATATTTATTCAAGACCCTTATTCATCGTCTGGAATCGTTTAAAGCCCTTTGAACAGTTTGCACAGAAACTGTCTTTTGGACCTTGAACCGTTTCGTACCCAGTCAAGTCCATTATATGGAGAAAAATCACTTTACATGCTTTCATGTCCAAGTATTTGCTATCTGACCCGTTGAATTGCAGCTTTTGTTCATGTGTGCTATGTGTGTTAACCCTATATAGCCTACCCTGCATAAATTAGGCTACAGTTAGGGTGATACACATGACTTAAAATGTGATATTGCCTGCACAGCTCTTGGACGACATATCTAACCTTTATATAGATATCTATGTTCCATACATCTCGGAAACTCGTGCATCAAATATTTTTATTCTACGAGTATTCTACGAGTTGCCCATGTGCATTTTGAACCATGTGTTTGGTCTGCATCTGCACGTTCTGGCCAGCAGGGGTCTCCAGGGTGTGGCGTTTCAAGCGCGGCCGTCCAAACGAACAAACAGGGAGTCAAGAAGCCATTGGTTCGGTTGATTCAAAGTCCAGAAAAGCTTTCGTTTCTCCTCGAAAGTCGTCAGTAAATGGTAAATGTAGGATTCTTTCATTTGCCCGCTGCTTAATTTCAGCCAATCAGGTGTGCAACCCACACGCAACGTGATTAATATTCATGAATCATGAGCCAATCCTTCAACAGATTCGGCGGTTTGATCAGTGAATAAGAACATTGCTCCTCTGCTTAAACTTGTTTTCCGATTATTTTTAAGATATTATGTAATGCAATACAATCCTCTTTCCCAAGAAGGAGACTGAACGGCGATGGAACAGGTAAAGAAAGTGTTTTGGATAACAAAACGCCGTGTAGATGCTATTTTGTCAAATAGATAGATGAGTTTAAATGGGTCAAAGGGTACGCTTAGTTTATTCACAAATAACCTACGTATTTTGTTTATATGGAGTTGTTTTATACTGAAATACCCTATTTTAATTAATTCCTTATGAAAATAAACGTAGGTTGTATTAGTAAAAGTGTAACGCTATGCTTAGTGTAGCAAAACCATGATTAATGTGTGGTTACCATGTTTTAATTATAACGTTTCTAACCATGTAAATTATTATTAATCTTTGTTGTACAACCATAATTCATTTGTGTTTATCAATGTTTAACTATACTAACGATGTTTTTCTGCTTTTATGTGTAGTGAGACCATGGTTAATTTGTGGTGACCGTTGGTTTGACTAGTCTCCATGTAGTTGTTTTGTTTGTAGTAAAACCATGGTTAATTTTCACAAGGGATGTGTTTGCCTGCTTGAATATTTTACACTGTCTCCTGAAATGTGTTGATATGTGTGTGCTAAAATGTATACTGTTTGTGTTTCATGTCGACTATATAGGTAGCCTGCAGCAATTTCAGATCCATAAGGGCCAAGTTTCAGGAAGAGCTCCAGGTGAGGGACAGACCTGTGCTTCCCGAGAAACCCAAACGCCTCCCGACAGCCGGCGTGGGCCGCTCTGGTCCGAGCTGTTCAGCTGTGGAAACCATGAGTTCAGCTGTGGAAACCAAGACCCCTAGTCTACCCCGGGCCATTTTCAGAGAAGACCTGAAAACGCCCTTTGGGAGACGGCCTGTGTCTTTCCCAAGCTTCCCCAACACAACATCTGAAGTCAGCAGGTCTGGTGAGGACAGGCACAACAGGCAGTCGCTCAAAGTTCGGCATTTGCCCCTCGTGTTGCCGCTTTCAAACGAGCCACCGCATGATTCTTCAGCTCCTTGCTCAAAGAGAATCCCATCACCTCTCAAATGCATCCGGAAGCAATTCCCTACGCCTTTCAGCTTGACCAAAGTTTCAGCGTCTGGCAAAGACATGGGTAAAAATGGTCCTAAAAGTACTCAGAGTGTTGAGACCGGAGAGTCAAACCCGTGTGCGAGTCTCGAGCGCTCCGCTACTCCTTCTCCGAGCGACGGATCGTCCCTGGCGGACTCGTCTTCTGGGACGGGGAGTGTTAGCCACTTCTTTGACCAGCATGTGTTGAGCACGCTGGAGAAAGCCAAGAGGAAGCTGTCCCACAAGAGCCTGCTGGTGTGTGGCCGACCCAAGGGCTTCTACATCAGCAAAGCCACCGAGAGTCCTCCATCTCCTCCTGCCCGTCCAGAGACGTCCTCTCCTCGGAAGAGCAGAGCGGCACACAGTGAGTTAGAAACTTAGGCTTTTACACGCATGCATACGGGACCGGTCAAACAATACTGTTTCCTATGCTCATCAGGCCTGCATTTATTTAATCAAAATACTTATTTGAAATATTACAATTTAAAATAATGATTTTCTATTTTATTATACTATTGTGGTGAAAATCCAGTTTTTAATGTTGTTTATGTGGCGTTTTTAATATGATTTTAAGACAAAGCATGAGTAAATTCATAAGTCGAGTATTTCCTCCTTAAAACTGCAGTGAACCAAAGACAGTCTCAAACACATGGTGTGAAATCACTGGTGTTTCTGACGTCACACACGACCTTGTAACCAATCAGATCAACGTGTGATTGTCAACCAGTGGATCTCTGAGTGAGTGGAGGCGGGGCTCATTTGCATATTCATAGAACCACGCATACTAAATGAGGCAAGGGTGTCGAGTTGCATTCAAGATATTTTAAGGCATGAAGATTTTAAATGAGATTTTTGGTGATCAGAGATGAGTTTTCAGCATCATTACTCTTTAATTTTTTCTTTTTTTGAAAGAAAAAGGATGTTAAATTGATAAAGTAAAGATTTTTATTGTTAAAAAAAGTTTCTATTTTTGAATAAATGCTGTTAACTTTTTATTCATCAATGAATCCTGAAAAAAATATCACCGTTATAAAGAAAAAACATTGAGCAGCACAACTGTTTCCAACATCGATGATAAATCATCATATTATAGTTATTTGTGAAGGATCATGTGACACTGGAGACTGGAGTAATCATTCTGAACAAACAGCTTTGATCACAGGAATAAATTATATTCAAATAGAAAACCATTATCGAAGTTGTAATATTTCACAATATTATGTTTTTTTTTTCTGTATCAAATAAATAGATCAAATAAATGCAGAGACTCTTTTTCAAAAGTGTTCATAATAGTAATGTTTCCAAACTTTTGGCCTGTGCTGTGTATGAATTCAGCAGTTTCGAGAGTGCGTAGAGAGTGTATTGTTCTAGTTCTTCAGTGCATCTGTGTTTGAGACATGCCTGTGTGTGTCGTAGCCGCTGTGACGGAGCTGGCTTTAGTCCTGCAGACCGGACCACCACGCAAACCTCTCCCTGACCCCACATCCCTCGGGCCGGGGCCCTCAAAGCCTCCGCGACCCCCGCGTGTGGACCTCCACAGATACACGGCTGCACGACACGCCACTGAAGCGCTCGCTGCTGGTTAGTAGACGTTCTTTCACACACATCACTGCTTTTTTGAGTTGATTTGGGCAGTTTACCTCCATACAACAGTAACATGGTTAAAGCGTAAGCTATGAGAAACCTTGGTGTCCTAATAGATAATAATCTAAATTTTAATAGTCACATAAAATCAATTACAAAATCAGCATACTTTCATCTTAAAAATATCAATAAACTTAAAAAATGTATGTCTAAAGAGGATCTTGAAAAGATCATACACATGCTTTGATTTCAAGTAGGATTGATTACTGTAATGTGCTTTTAGCAGGACTCCCTAAAAAGAATTTAAAACCGCTCCAAATGGTACAGAATAGTGCAGCCAGGATCCTTACAAAAACCAAAAGAAGAGAACATATTACTTTGATTTTAACCCCTTAGCTGTCACCCCCCTTTTTGAGAATGGGGGTTAAATGCACTATTCAAACTTAAATGGTTGTAATTTAAGAATGCTTTGGAATATATACCCAAGTTTGGTCTTGTTTTAAAGAAAACACTCAGCAGAATATTGCTGAAGTGTAAACACTTCAAAAAAATGAAAGTATGAAAAAGTTATGGAAGTTTAAATTTACAGTAAATTAAATATACTGTACTATATATTTTTTATTTTATATAAAATATTTATTTTATAAAATATTTTTTACTCTAAAATTTCTATAAAATCAAAGCCATACATCTTATCAAGTTATGTTCCAAATTTGAAGTTGATATCACAAAAATTGAAGTTCCCATGAGATTTTGTTTAGGCGTAGTACCAAAAATAGCCACCGGGTGCCATTGAATTCCATTGAATTTAGTTGTATACATTCTGCCTTAACAAATTAATACATTTATGTCCAAATATCAATTCTGTCACAAAATTTGGAACCTTGAGACTCTGACCTTTCTGACAATATCATTTTTGTCAAGATTAGAAAAGGTTTTGATCATAAATTATGAAATATAATGATGCCCAAAAGGGGAGGAGCCTGATCAAATAAGTACCGTTTCTTTGGTAACGCAACTTTCAATTATAAAATAGTTTTCACACGATGAATTCTGAGTTTATAAGCTTTCAAATGATACCTAATTTATGATAACTACTAAAATGTGTGATATAATAAAAAAAGGTGCTAAAAAAATAATATTATATTTTAGAGGATAATAAATATAAATATTATAATTTTTAGAGGATAATATTGTACTATTATTTTTTATTTTTTATTGAAAAATACTAGATTATATGTTTATTATGAACTTTTAGCATAAAAACAGAAGTTTCAATGATTAAAAGTGGGTTCATCAACTTTTTGTGACAAAGGTCAAAACTCCTGTTATGATGCAGATTTTTTGAGGTGCACTCTTGTCATAAATTCCTTAATTACTCTTCCTACATAATTTTTAACACAAAACAGGGGTAGAATATCTATTTAGAAGTCTTAGACCTTTCCAACAATATATAATTAGTCATAATTAGATTAGGAATTAATAGAAATATAGTGAAGTAAAGTTAGGCGTCCCGGTACCGGGACAGTGACAGTTTAGGGGTTAAAGTCCTTACACTGGCTCCCAGTTATGTATAGGATTAATTTTAAAGCACTTTTATTAGTTTTTAAGTCAATAAAGGGGGTGGGACCTAAATACCTTCATGATATGTTTCAACAGTATACTCAACCTAGACCGCTTAGATCACAGCATAAACAGCTTTTACTAAAACCTACAGTTAGAACAAAACAAGGGGAAGCTGCTTTTAAATACTTTGGCGTTCATCTCTGGAATCAACTTCCAGATAACATTAAAAACGCTCCAACCATTACAATTTTTAAAAATAGATTAAAGACTACGTTTTTTTCAGATGGTTTTCCAGTTAATGCGTGACAAATAAATGCATTTACGTTATTTTATTTTCTTTTTAATGTTTTTTTGATAAATGTGTATTTATTTCTGTGTTGTGTGGCTACATTGAATTTTAATTGTTTATATTATACTGTGTGAAGTGCATTGTATTGCTGCTATGTATGAAATGCGCTATACAAATAAAATTGCCTTGCCTATGAGAAGTCAAATTAGGGGGTATTTATTCATATTCAGGATCAAGCGCTCTAAGAGGAAATATTCAGGTTTTTGAAAGTATTTTTGAAAATATACATTATGTATATATTTTGTAAATGTGTGTCTGTGTATTGTCAGTAATACTGACCTTCATTCTTAAAAATACATTTATTTTAAAATGATAAAATAAAATGTAAAAATACACAACAAGTATTTAAACTCTACTGTCTTTATGTTGTTTCTACATTTATTTGGAGATTTAATTATTGCATATTAAAATATATTAAAAACATATCAACTTAAGTGTTCTTAATAGCAATTAATCAGAAACATGTGATTTAATCTACTTAATTTTTTAAATGTTAAAATTCAGCTTTGATCACAGGATTAAATTAAATTAAATAGTCAAATAAATGTAAAAAATGAAGAAAAAATTGTAATTTCCCAATATTGCTGTTTTTACTGTGTTTTTGATCTAATAAATGCAGGCTTGGTAAGCAGAAGAGACTTCTTTCGAAAACGTATAAAAACCTTCTTAACTGGTAACTGACTGGTAGTTTATATGTCAGTGTGTGTACATGGAAAAAAATGGTTTATTATCCTAACTATAGAAGGTTCAGCTTGAAATGCAGCTCATCCGTTCTGAGTGATGTTGGTTCGGGAGCTGGTTTCAGTCTTGTCCTCTGTTTGTCCAGAACCGGAGCCTGATGTTTCTGCTCCCGCTGATGCGTCACTAGAGGACACGAGTTTACCTCCTCCCGAATTCCCCGATTTTGAAGTGTGTGCAGCCGAAGCGGCGGACAGCGACGCCGTCGACCTGGCAGCCCTGGAGCTGGAGGCCACAGAGTTCCCCGACTCCTTGCCTCCTCCTCCACCAGAGGAACACGACAACCCGGTCACATGTTCTCCCGGGGATGATGGACCACACGACACGCCGTCAGCTGACGCTCTCGCTCAGGCCACAAGCACAGGCGTCTCTGCCACCTCTGACCTCAGGATGAACGGATCACACACTGAACACCAGCAACCAGTGTAAATGTGTCATTTGTCTCATTATGTCCCATTATATCCCTCACGGGTCAAAATGACCTGAAGCCCTAAAATTATACTACTTTTTTTTTTTTTTGTCCGGAAAGCTTATTTTATTTCTTTTTGATATTATTTGAAAAGCATTTTTTTAATTACCTTTTTAAATCACTTTGATCAATAAATAAATAGTCATTTTAGCTCATTCCTTACATTATTCAAACTTAAATTCAAAATTACTTACAATTTCATGCATAACCCTTTTAATTCAGCTCAAAATATCTTTCATTGTGTGTCTTGTGGAAACTAATATAACCTGATATTTCATGACTCTTGCCACTAGATGGCCTTATAGCTCTCTTCAGTGTGTGTTCAGATACACATGTAGACATTATACAATATTTTTTTGGTAAATTTGAGCATTTTTAGGTTTTTCTATGTGTACTGAAGCATTCCTCACAGTCCATTAATTCCTATGGGGGTCAAATTGACCCGTGAGGGAAGGATTTTTTACATTTCTACCACACAAAACTCCTCGAATCCATATTTTCTTTGTGTGTGGTTCAAGTGTGACAAAAGTGCTGTGGTCTTGGACCCCTCTGATGAACACTCAATTAAAAAAAAAAACTTCCGGGTCAAATTGACCCGAGGGAAGGATGAGAGTTGGGTTTAAACTTGTATCTTTAATATTGCCGTGTAATTGTCTTTATAATGCGATGGATCAGACCTCATCTCATCAATGTGTTCTTCTTTTCCCCTCAGTTTTCCTAAGGAGAGGCGTTTGCATGGGACATTTGACAATGTTTATGAGGATGTGGAGACTGTTCCCAAGTTTCCTTTTGTCCAACACTCGTTCAAGAGTAAAGCAGCTCCTAAAAGTGAGTACTGTATTATGCTAGCACTTGTCAATGATTGGAGGACAGTGACTGATGCGCTTTCTCCTTCAGACCCGTATGCGGATAACGGCCATGTGGTGAGCCATTCTTTCTTATAATTGCCGTTTATTAAAGAGTTGGTCTTTTACGTGAAATATGTTTGATATATCATGATGGGTGCTTGAAAAGATACTCTGAAGCATCCTTACCTGGTGTACATGGAAAGCCTGGATGAAGTGTGAATGCGTCTTTGCCAGCTTATAATGACGTACATTATTTCTATTGATCTCTTGATTTGTTTGACAGAAAGAAGAGACTTGGAAGAATATATGGCATGTCCCTCAGTGGTTTGTCAGCACTTATTTCTCTCTCATGATAAATGTTATCAAATGCTGTACAGTCTAAGAAAAGACTACATTGCAATTGGTTTTCTTAGTATTGTTTCCTGTCCAAATGATTAGATGCCATTAGGTACTGTATTGTCTTGTTTTCTGGGGAAATAAATCAAAATTTAGTGAGTTGTTGCTTAAAAAAAAAAAGCTAAATTATCTGCCAATGGGGTCAGAAAAATAATCTTAATTCAATCAGAAACTAGATCATTATTTCTTACCCCTTTGGCTGATCATTTTGCTTGTTTTAAACAACAACTTGATTTTGATTATTTCCCCAGAAAATATAATAATATATCTTACTGCATTTCACTACTTTAGTAAATGCCTCGTGAATGAAGTATTCTTTTTGTATTTGGACTGGAAACGAGACACAAAAGCATATTTTGCAGTGAAAACTTGAGTTTCTGTTGTTTCCCCTCACGATGTGAAGGTCTAATGCAGCTGAAGATCACAATGGCCACAGTCACAACGACAGGTATGATGATATCTGATTTCTGACTTAACTCTGTGACGCATCATTTACTGCACTGTAATCTGGGGAAATCTCATTACTATAATGTGGGAAAAAATGCCATCAAAGAATCTAATGATAAACTCAAACACACCCCGGGTCCACACCAGACTCTCTGAGAGAGGACACGATTGTGAAGAAATGGAGGCTTACATTTAGCTCGGTTTAAATTTTCTCTCGGAGAGAAAACATTCTTAATGGGTTCGTCAAGTAAGATTTTTACAGAAACCGTATTGTTGCTAATCGATGGCGTTCGCTTCTGTTGAAGCCGTCAGTCGCATTATTTCAGCTTATTTTTAAGATCGTTTAACAGCAGAATTCCTGGTGAAAACTACATTACCCATGATGCTGTGCAGAAAATTACACCAATCAGAGTCTCGAAACAAGCAAAACGCACCAAAAGATCCGGCCAGTTCTGTGAAGCATAGCATATTTATATTTTCCAATATACATCCACATTTTGTAATAAACTTGCATGGTGTGTGAATATTTATGTGAAAGTAGTTTTATATTAATTCAGGTACACTGTCTGCAATGCTTCATGGGATTGTAGTTCTTTCTCACTAAAGCTGTTAAGTTCGCGGTCTTGTACTTTTTGTGCGTATTGTTTTTGCTTCAAATCACAGTTTGTAATGTTGTAATGTGGTTCTCGAAGCTGGTTGGTTTGGTTCATGGCTTATAATGTTTTGGCGAAGAAAAAAAAAAACACCTATGGGAGAAATAAATGGAGAAAATACTTTCGTAACCAACAACACTAAACAAGCGGGCGCCAGTGCACACTATAGTCATGAAAATATTTCATCAGGACAGGTTATAGTCAATCACATACCCATCAGCCCAGACATGCGTTGCCATTAGATTCATTGGTCTTACACATCAGATTTAGTTTTCTGACACAATTTTCATTTTAAAATTCTGTTGATTTGTCACAAAGATATTATCTAGAAGTATTGCTGAATTTGCTAAAATGATTTATTCTTACCGAAACTTGCGAGACTATAATGTGTTTAATATGTATCAGTCAGCAATGTTTTGCCTTGTTTTCCATCATTTTTCAGCCAAAGTGTATATGAATTGAAGTTATTGAAGTAAAAATATAAATATCTTAATAAAATATGTGTTGAGGGCTTGAGGCCAGTGGAAATGTCGTCTGAGCAAGGAAAAATATATAATTATTAGTTTAAAATAACTGGTTTCATTTCAGTCATGTTAAATATGATTATTTTATATCTTATAATTTCTCATTATTGGGAGTTTTTCACTTGGACATGAGATTTACGCTTCTATGCGTAACTTGTAACACATCTTAACGTTAATTGCTAAAAACACAGCCGATCTGGTTATTTACAAGGGATGCACCGATATGAAAATTTTGGCCGAAACCGATAACAGATAATTCTTTATATTTGAAAGCCGATAACCGATATATCGGCCGATAAACTTAAATCAAAATTTTTATCTAATTTTGAGAGCCTGATTACATAAACAAAAGCCTCACAATTAAATCCATGTCCCAAGCGCACAATTATAATGACGTTCTCATTATAGTGTCGTATAGCCTTGATGACAGATTTGCGCTGCACATGTTGTCCCGAACCAGATTTAATTTTTTGAAGAGATTTCAATCATATTTGTAGAAATTCAAAAACAAATACAGTTCTCAACAAGTGTCTCAGCTGAAGGGAATAATACATTATTTATCGGCTTTAATATATATCGGCCACATTTTCTTACCCGGCCGATAACAATAACATTAAAAATGAACATATATATATCGGCCAATACCGATATGCTGGCCGATATATCGTGCATCCCTAATATTTATCAATTGAGACTGAGCACAGCGTGTTCCTCATAGAAACCGACCTAAAAAGTGTGTGATTTTTTTTCAGAAAGAAGATGAGCCCTGAACACCAGGAGGATAAAGAGCTGAAGAAGAAGGAGAAGCAGCGTCTGGAGAAGGAGAAGAAAGAGCAGAAAGAGAAGGACAAAAAGAGAAACATGTTGCACAAGAAATTTAAAGTGAGTTCGGATTAGGGGTGTGCGATATGACGATTTTTAATCGTGGACGATTAAAATGTCTCCACGATCTGCTTTTGAAGAAATATCGTAGTATCGTGTTACAGTGCATTCTATCAGTTCAGTTCTGGCGCCTCCGTCTCTCAACTGTACAACGCGACGTAGCCTACACATGATCACACGTTAAGGAATAGGTACGGGACACTGCAATTCACAAAAGTTCATTATTTGCATAAGCCTTGCCGGTTAAACATTTAATTCACGCGCTGATGCGCTGTTCTAACGTGCGCTTTCCTGACCGCATAACCCCCGACGCTCACAGGCACTAGAAGTCTGTCAAACAGCGCCTGAATACTGGACTAAGTTATCTCTCGAGTCTTATTATGCTAATACTGTTAAATACACACAATGTTTACATAAACAGGCTATGTCTAAAGTGAAAGCAAACATTTGAGAGAATATCTGGTGTAATATGCATCTATATTAAACGCGTCACGTGCTGGTCTAAAAGCAACAGGAATAAATAGTAGCCTACTGCCGCTTGTCCTAGGGATAGTTCACAACAACAACAAAAAAATATCCGTCATTATTTACTCACTCTAATGTTGTTCCAAACCTGTATTAATTTCTTTCTTGTGCTTTTTTTTAATGTGGGTAACCAAACAGTTGCTGGTCCCCATTAACTTCCAGGAGAGAACCTATAAAAAAAAACTATAAGGAGACCAGCAACTGTTCGGTTATCCACATTATTCAAAATAACTTTTATTTTCAACAGAAGAAAGAAACTTATTCGGGTTTAAAACATCTTGAGAGAGTAAATTAAGACAATTTTCATTTTTGAGGGAACTATCCCTTCAGTGTTAATAAAACAAAACAAAAAAACACAAGGAGAAAATCAATTTATTCAGTGAAGTCTATGTAGTGTTTTAATTTCATATTTGTTCATTTAATTACTTCAATGCTACTGCTAAATACACCTACTGCATCTGAAAAAATAAAGCACTATTTATTTAATATGAATATTAATTTGTGTAATGTTTATCTTGTCTTATTTTTTTAATAACAAAGAAAATAATGACAAAGATTTTTATCTTCGCCACTGGCCTAAATGTGTGGCTTTCTTTTTTCTTTTGTTACCTAAGGCTTTGTTTTTAACATAAGGACATTAGTTTGGCTGTAATGAACAGCCACTTGCAAAATATTAAAACAAACTTGAAAAAGAATCGTGACAAAAAATCGTGATCGTGATTTTCCTAAAAAAAATCGTGATATGATATTTTTTCCATATCGCCCACCCCTAGTTCGGATGCATAACTTAAAGCCACACTTCATGTAGCGCAAGATAGCGTTTCAAACTGACTGGTGTTTACTTGAAAGAAAAGTGTGCCTGTGCTATCCATCTTTAATGTAGTGACATACATCAGTATAACTTCTCCAGGTCCTGATATATTTCCCATGTTCCCCAATAGATCACCGGACTGGAAGAGCCCATGTATCGCGCCCGAGTGCTGGCGGCCAGCAAACTCCGCAAATACGACCTGCCCGTCAAAAGTGGGGATCTCATCAGCATCATCCGAACGGTCAACTGCCCCAAGGGCAAATGGCTGGCCCGAGACGCCAACAACAAATGTGAGATGCTCTTGAACATCATCTAGTCATGGCTTTTACTGTATCAGAAACTGTATATTCTTTTCCCTCCCCACTCCTTAAAGGGGTCCTATAATGCCTTTTCACAAGATGTAAAATAAGTCTATGTTGTCCCCAGAGTGTGAATGTGAAGTTTTAGCTCAAAATACCCCTCAGATGTTTTATAGAGCATGTTAAAATTCACTTTTTGAGGGTGAGCAAAAACACGCCGTTTTCGTGTCTGCCCCTTTAAATGCAAATGAGCTGCTGCTCCTGGCACAGAGGGCGGAGCTTCAAAACAGAGTGTGTTTGTGGCTGCGTTCCAGTCCACTTTTAGACACGCACTTGCGAACTTCCCTAAGCACTTCCCCTCGGGGGAATCCTTGCCGCCAGACCGACGAATGTGCCACGCGAAAGCTAGTCCCGCGCCCTCCTATGGTTAATAAGAAAGCAATAAGGGGCCGTTTACACCTGGTCACTTCGGAAGTATACATTTATTTTTAAATATATATAAAAACAATATTCAAATAGTAACTTTAGCATTCGAATAGTATTGATTTTTTTTTTTTTTTTTTTTTTTTTAATATTCAAATTATATTCGAATTTGCGGAATTCGTTCCAACAGCCCTATCGCGTTCCCGGGGCTGTGGATTGTGTAAGCAATAAGCTACAGAGGCTGTGCTGTATGGTGAATAAGTCACGGCTGAAGGGTGGTGTTCGGCACGATGCAAAGCAGAGTTAGCCGGGACTTAATCACCATAGAGCACTAGATTCTGTACCTTATTGCTTTTATAAAACGGATACCACACAATACAAATATTAAGGACGGAAAATATGTATCTATGCAACGTTCATGAAGTAAAATCACTAAAAGCCTTCCTTCCACTGGAAAAAGTAGTCCCTGACCGTGATAGAAGTTACATTACATTATTTCACCATTAGATGGCGACAGAGACTCTCTTTACGAGTGAGTGAGTCCATCAGAAGACTTTTACATTGAAATGACTCTTGTGAACACCGATAAGGAAGACTCAACTGACGAATGACTAAGTTAGCGTATCAGGGGAAAACCCCTCGACTGTTAAAAAGACAAGATATCACGGCGGACATTCAAACTGATTTTTTGTCACGAATGTAGGACTGACCTGAAGGAAAATGCTATATCTACTGTAAATGCAGATAAATTTGCTTACTCGATATCTCACAATACTCTAACGTTACTCTATTAGCTTCAATAAACAGTATTAATGAAAACAAACATATGTTTACGTTGCTAAGAGTGGTTGCTTGGGGTGTTGTGTAGTGATACGTAGAGCCGTTGGTTGAAGCGGTTATAGTCGTGTTTTATCATGATTAAAACACAGCTATTGACCAATCAGAATCAAGGACTTGAACCAACCGTTTTATAAGTACATTTTAGGCTTAGGCTAAGTGTTTTTAGCCCGCTAAAAACGCCAGACGCTCTGCTGAAAACGCTAGCTGTGGGCGCTTGAGAGCGCTTTGTCAGCGCAGCGTTCTTTCCGTTGAGACGTTTTGTTGCTATGATACAGAATATCCGCAGCACAGTTTACTTGCAGCTGATTTTACAGATAATTTTTCATAGTAAATTATTCTTCATCCATGTTGTTCAGTTAGGCCGTGTGTCCACCAAAGCGTTTTTAGCCAGCTGAAAACGCTAGACGCTCTGCTGAAGACGCCGTGCTTTGGGCGCTTGAGAGCGTTTTGGCAGCGCAGCGTTTTTTCCGTTGAGCCGTTTTGTTGCTATGATACAGAATTATCTGCAGCAGTTTGAATGTTGTGACAGTTGGTCGGTGTGGTATTAGTCCCGCCCCTCCTCCGCTGTGATTCGATGGCTGGGTAAAAAGTGACTGTGATGAGCACTGCGTTTCACCTAAAGTTGAACATTTTTCAACTCGGCGACCTGTAAAAAACGCTGGGTGCTCAGCACTTCAACGTGAAAAAAACGCTCAGCGCCTCGTTACGCTCATCGCGCTCCCATTGAAAACAATCTGTTTTTTTTTTTTTTAAAAAAGCTTAGGTGGACACAAGGCCTTAGTGATGTCACTAACCTGGGAGGAAGCTTGTGTAGTCCCTCTCAGCCGTTTTGTTGTAGTCCTTAAAAAGAGATTCATGTAAAAGCTTTTAACTCTGAGCGTCATGACTTTGCAGATGTTCAAACAGGAACATTACACACAAGCTAAAGTTAGAAAAATGAACTCATAATCGTTCCCCTTTAAGATGAATTAAAAAAAGTTGACCACTTTTTGAATGTCCTAGAAAGCCTCCTGCAGGAGTGACTGTGAAATCGCTGTAGTTTCTGAGGCTTTGACAGGAGACGGTCTTCCTTCTGTTGTGGTGTGTGTGTGTGTGTGCAGACGGCTACATCTCCGTGATGAATGTGGAGTTGAACATCAAGGAGATGCTGGAGCTGGGGAAGAAGGCGTCGCAGGCCGCCGGACGAGGCCAGACCGACGGAGATAACCTCAGCTTCAGCAGCAGGTAGAGAGGAAACATATCCATATCCACACACACTCGATGACATCATGCATATGAAATAAAGCTCACTGTCAAGTTAACCATGGATTGGCAGCTAGGGGTGTTACGATACACTGATATGGATCAGAAGACTAATGATACGATGTATAGATGCAACACCTTTATTCTGACGCTTGGCATCTCTGGCTGTGTTTACACTGCCACAAAAAATCCTATTTTTTACACGCTTTCTCACATGTAAACGCACAAATATGCATGATTTTTTCCGCAAACAAGCTCCTTTTTCAAATCTGTCCGGATTAATACAATCTTCTTTGTCAGAAATGAATTTTAAACACATATATCAGATACCAGTTGTGTCTAAAGTAGATCAAAACATCAGGCTCATAATAATGACTATATCAGTCGATGCACCGCTAGATAGAGGTGAAATTGTCTCGCCGCGTGTTAAGCTGTTGGGACACATCAAATAGCTGGCTAAGATGATCGATTTTGTATCGTATTGCGACAAAACGTTGGATTTACACCCCTGTTGGCAACCTTGTGTTGTAAATCTGTATCAATTGACAGTGTATTTCTATTCTCACTGGGTGGATATGAACTTTATAAACTTAAAATTCTAGGTTTCAAAAACTTTGTCTTGTTGCTGTCATGTTAATGAAATCATTTGATTATAATTTGTATATTAGTGAATGTAAGATTATTTTATCAACATTGATTCATTTCTTTTCAAATAATTTTAGTAAATCATATTTATTTGATTGCAGCATGTATTACTGATTCCCATCATTAAATGGTTTATCACTCACATCAGCCATAGACCTGCTCTCTAAGATATGCACATCATATATATACACTACCGGTCAAAAGTTTTAGATCGGTAAGATTTTTTTATGTTTTTAAAAGAAGTCTCTTGGGCTCACCAAGGCTGCAATTATTTGATAAAAAATACAACAAAAAAAAAAACAGTAATATTGTGAAATATTATTACAATTTAAAACAGCGGTTTTCTTTGTGAATATATAGTGAAGTGTAATTTATTCCTGTGATCAAACCTGCGATTTTTAAAAAAAAATTTTTTGCATCCTAACTCCAGTCTTCAGTGTCACATGATCCTACAGAAATTATTATAATATGATGCTCAAGAAAGATTTATGATTATTATCCATGTTGAAAACAGTTTTTTACATTTTCATTTCAGGATTCTTTGATGAATAGAAAGTTCAAAAGAACAGAATTGATCTGAAATGGAAATTAAGCTTTTGTAACATTAATCACTACCATTCAAAAGTTTGGGGTCAGTAAGAATTTATTTTTTATTTTTTGGGGGAAAGAAATTAGAAAATACTTTTATTCATCAAGGATGAGTTAAATTGATCAAAAGTTACAGTAAAGACATTTATAATGTTAGAAACGATTATATTTTAAATAAATGCTGTCCTTTTGAACTTTCTATTCAACATAGAATTTTGGGGGAAAATGGTACACGACTGTTTTCAACATTGAAAATAATAATTTATGTTTTTTGTGCATCAGATCCTCATATTAGAATGATTTCTGAAGGATCATGTGACACTGAAGACTGGAGTAATGATGATAAATTCAGCTTTCATCACAGGAATAAATTACACTTCACTATATATTCACATAGACAATCGCTGTTTTAAATTGTAATAATATTTCACAATATTTTTTTTTTTTTTTTTTTGTATTTATCAAATAATTGCAGCCTTGGTGAGCAGAAGAGACTTCTTTTATAAACATAAAAAAATCTTACCGATCTAAAACTTTTGACCAGTAGTGTATACGGTTTAAATTTTTGGCTATAATGTATAATATATCTATATTATGTATAGATGCTGTTAAATCAAAACATATATCATAGACTCAAATGAGACGCTTTAAACACTGTATTGTCATAGTAATGTGTGTGAACGGTCTGATGTTTGCAGGTCGTCTCATCAGAATCCGGTGTTCACCAGCAGCTGTAAGTCTTCTGTTCCTCTTTCTTCAGCCGTGTGTTGAGTGTTTTGGCAGCCTGGCACTTTCTTTAACACCCGGTGGTGCTGAAATAATAATCCTGTGTGGTTTAACAGCTGTTTTCTCAGATCGGCTTGGGTTAAATCGTTTTAAAACTACATTTCAGGAGCAGTTTATTTTATTAGATCCATAGACAACAAAAACAAATGAATATGCAACTGAGTGTTAAGTTATAATATAAAATTGACTACTCTTTCGTGGCTTTACTGTGCTTTAAAGATTGCTTTGAAGCATATCCCGCTCTTCGCTGTGTTACACAGAGGAGACTAACAAACCGATTATTGGTTAATCTTCAACATTTTTGCCGTTTAACATTCATTTGGATTGTCCTTTTTGGGAGTTTACACGGAAAAATAATAGTTTTACAATTTAGTGGCTTGTAGATCTCAGTTTACAGGACTACTTATTCATTTCATAAACAATGACTGTCTGTCCACAACTCTGGCAGCGCTTCATTGGCGTCAGTGCTGTAATGTGACTGTAATCAATAGGGCTGAGTAATAAATATAGATTTCTCGATATTAATCGATTCTCATTTATACGAACTGATATCGATTCTTAAATCTCAAGAATCGATTAGTCATCCTGTTTCATTTGAATGAATGGGACATTGTATCGCGGCTGCGCGCATCCAAAAAATCGCAATAATCTTTGTCCTTTGTTACTATTGATATGAAACAAAGTCTCAATTTTCCAATTATGTCTATTTTCTTTAGAATTTCAAAAACATAAATAGTGTTTTGGCGCTGTGGCGTGAGATCGCTCTGGAGAAGCAGCAGCGCTGATCTCTCTTCCGGCTTAATAATACCAGTCACAGCGCGAAATAAACATGAATGAGCATCTGAAAGTGTGTTAAAGATAGAGTACAACTTATCGAAATCTGTATCATGTCACCTTGATTCGCTCAATCAGCGTTTCAACCGTGGAAAGACGTCAGTTCAACAGCTTGTAATCAATGTCATGTATCGTCATATTTACCTCAGAAAACCCACATAAACTCGTTAGTCAGCTAGAAAAAATAACTCTAGAGAGGAGCATTTTGCTAAATATATAAACCATATTACATATGCATTATAATGTTCTTCAATATTTAATGCATATTTGAATAAATCTGGCAAGTTTTTATGACAGCCACAATTTAAATGTTTATATTTCATATAATCTTATTATGAAAATAAATAAAAGTGTAATTTAATTGTCTGTATAGCTACAAAACAGTTCATTATTACCTTCATATTAGGCTAATGAAGCCTAGTAGGCTACAACTAGACTCCCATAGTTTACAGCATTAGTTAAGAGATTTCCCAGACAGCAAACTGACATTGAATCAACGTGGAAACGCCGTCTCTCATGACATTGAAACAACGTTGATTTTGCTCATCGAATTAACGTTGAACCAACGTCAGACGCGGCATTCTTCAAAGCTAAATAAAAATCGAAAATTGGTTTGCTTTCATAACGTTGAAACAACGCGTTGATTTCAAGTTGATTTTCCGTTAGTTTTGAAAGAATGACGCGTCTGACGTTGGTTCAACGTTAATTCGATGAGCAAAACTATGTCAGATCAACGTTGTTTCGATGTCATATTTCCACGTTGATTCAATGTCAGTTTGCTATCTGGGTTGATTCCCTTGAAAAATTGCCATTTATTGTAACTGATATCCAAAATAATCAATATTGAATCGAATCGAAATCGAATTGCAAGCTTGTGAATCAAAATCGAATTGTGAAATTTGTGTCAATAACCAGCCCTAGTAATCAAGGCACATGGGATCTGATGGAGCTGGTCCGTCTCCCTATAGTGAGTGCGTCCCTGGCGTCAGTGCCCTCTAACACCAGTGGCTGATGATCAGATCCAGCCGCAGCGTCATGTTTAACTGGGAAAAGTGCTGACAGGAAGGGAAAAAGTTTAACCGTAACCAAAGGGCAAACCCAGGAAAACAAGGGCAGATATGAGCCTTGAGTTTCTTGATAATACAATTAATTCGCCTTTGGCTAAGCCACGCCCTAGAATGTAGATTGACCAATCACAGTGCAGCCAAGAACGAGCTCCCACAGAGGTCCGACGCTTTGTCACAGCGCTCCATTGACTTTCAACACAGGCGTCTCATATTTTTGGTCTATTACCGTCGTAGTTTTATCCAAAATATGGTTAAACGTTGTGCCTCAGGCATTTGTAACACAGATACGCGCTTCCCAGAGAAGTTGGAGGGGGTGTCCGTTTGATTGATTTCGGTTCTCATACCAGTTGTTGATACGCTAGCAAACGCTGCTAATAAATACAACGTTATCCACAAGTTTCCGAGGGGCGCTCCTGTAAAAAATAAAGTGGGTGAAACTTCCGGTGACGCGGCGGAAGTAGCATTCCAATGGTATTTTGTGTGTTAGTTAGCGAAGAGGCTAGCTGTTTTTCGGAGAATTATTTTACTATTTAAAGACGCAAATCTTTATGAGAGATGTCGTTACGGAGCTCAGGGACAACATGTGCTGTTCACGGTTGTATGTATAACCGGACTAAACTAATTTAGTGGCTTAAACGGGATTGTTTTGAACATAAGCTGAAAACGAAATCAGAGTGATCCTACCAGAGCCCGTCTCTGATCCTACCAACGACTGTAGTGTCCATCACCTCCCAAAAGACGACGAATCTTCCTGTGTACATTTGTTTAAATTCTTAATATTCTATAAATTCTATCAGCATGTGATTGGCTGTTCGCTACTGATGTTGCACCTAAACTCAGGATCAAAGCCTGTGTTGACAGAATACCAAATGTGCCAGTTAATGTATTCAAGAAGCACATTCATTTATAATTTTGAATAAACTCCAAAGCACAATGACTAAGTGTGTATTTTTTATTTTAATTGTTTGTCAGCTCGCACAACTGTCTGTCACCATGCCTTGATGAGTATTGATTATTAATAATGTTATTATAATACTCCCAATCAACTACTGCGGAGGGTAAAGGTACTGTTATTTCACCCTTTTGAATTTCGTTGAGGTTGTGTTCCCATATCGTTAGCTAGTTTGGATCGCTATAACTTGAATGACTGTCAACTGTTGAATGAACGAGTGCATGTCAAGTCGCGCTTTGTTTACTTCCAACCGGAAGTCGCGCCCACTTTTGACGCAAGGCATCATGGGGCGTAGGAAACTTGTGGATACTCGTGTAGTCCGTTTGCTTTGTAATAACGATTATAGAAGTGAATAGAGACCTACCAGCTTTGCATGAACAGTGTTGCTCCCTGATATTGTTAGTCCCAGCCTCCGTCTCCATTAGTAGAAAATGCGGTGGTTCATTTTTTGACTGTGACCGGTAACGTTATGCTTTAGATGCCTTGTTGTTTGAAGTAGCAACAGTAACTAAGGGGGGCGGGGCTTAGCCAAAGGTGAATTATTTGTCTGACGTCTAAATAAGACAAGTAAATAAGACTCAAACAGTTCCCACTGTACTTGAGCAATCTATTTTAACTACTTTTTAAACTAAAATAAGGTGCTACTAACATTTTCTGGGCCATTCTAGGATTTTCTGTGGAATTATGATTTATTTTTGATAGTTTTTGTTCAGTTGCGCACAGAAGAAACGCGTGTAAATCAGTTTCTAGAAAGAAATTGTGGATTATTTGAAAAGAAAAAAGAGCAAGGCTGCCAATATTTTGGGCCACCATTGCAGATGCATGTCAATATTTTTTTTCGTTTTCATGCGTTTGACTTGTTCTTCCAGTCACGGATGACAGTGAGGAGTGGATGTATGAGGATGACACCTTGTCTCTCTCCGCTGAAAACTCGTGAGCTGAACTCGTTTCACACACATGGCCTCAGTTCACCTGAACTTTACACAGATCTCTACACTCGTGTGTGTCTCTCTCTCTTTATCTGCAGGAGTCAGGTGAAAGCGGTCTCCATGCCTGAGATCTGTGAGTGTGTTTCTGCTCTCTCTGCGCTGAGCTTGATGTGTTCTGTTCACTGTACTCTGGTCTCTCTCTTCTCAGTCGACAGCACCTCCTCGGCTCATCAGACGTTCAGTGACTGGAGCATTGAAGACGTCCACACACAGTGAGCCCAACGACACCACAGGGATATAACACAGCTGTGGAATCGTGTGTTACAGCTGCCAATCCACTCCATAGCAACCAAACAGAGCACCATAGCAACCATTTTGCAACAGCTAATATCTCAGCATCAAAACATTGTATCGCGATGGGGGTTGGGTCTTTTGACTCATGCTAGCACACAGGACTTTCAACATGCTAGCTGTGAATAGCTACACGTTAATGTCGATTAGTTACCCAGATAATAAACTGAGATTGAATAAACGTTTTGACATCGTTTTGCTCATCGAATTAGCGTTGAACCAACGTCAGACGCGCCATTCTTCAAAACTAATGGAAAATCAACTTGAAATCAACATCATTCGTTTCAACGTTAGGAAAGCAACTAAATGCGTCGATTTTCTGTTAGTTTTGAATAATGGCGCTTCTGACGTTGGTTCAACGCTAATTCGATGAGCAAAACAATGTCAGATCAACGTTGTTTCGATGTCACGAGAAACGTCGTTTCTACGTTGATTCAATGTCAGTTTGCTATCTGGGTAACTGCTAAATCATGCCGAGAACATGTTAAGAACGCTATAAAAACTCTATAGTAACCATATGTGACAACTACCAACCACTTAGTAACACCATATCAACCCGCCAGAATATGTTAGCAACCACCTAGAACACCCTAGCAACCACCTATCTACACAAAAGCAACCACCCAGAACACCCTAGCAACTGCCTAGCAAGACCCTAGCAATTACCCATAATACCCTAGCAACTCCCTAGAAACACTAAAGCAACCACCCAGAGCACCCTAGCAACCACCTAGAGCACCCTAGCAACCATAAACTACATTACCAAGCCATATTTCAGCTCAAGAAAATAGTAGAAACATGGAGTTTGGCTTTTTTGACTTTGAGAGTGTCTAGTCTTTAAATATCATCTCATAAACTGTATAAGCACACCATAGCAACCATGTAGAGTACCCTAGCAACCATAAACTACATTACCATGCCATATTTCAGCTCAAGAAAATAGTAGAAACATAGAGTTTGGCTTTTTTGACTTAGAGTGTCAACTAGTCTGTAAATATCATCTCATAAACTGTATAAGCACACCATAGCAACCATATAGAGTACCCTAGCAACCACCTAAACACATGATTAAGCCATATCTCAGCACCAGAATGTCGTACAGACATGGTTGTTGGTGTAACGGAGGCCAGCTAGTAGTTGCTGTGCGAGTAAACCTCACTCCCCGATCTCAATAGGCGCTCTAGCGACAGACGCTAGGGGCTGCAGTCTTTAGCCTCCTTGTTAGCGCGCCTGACTCTCATGCCGGAGACCCGGGTTCGAGGCCCGCTCGGAGCGGGTCGAGTTGGACCCGGGTGTGAGGGGTTACATTGGTGCCGTGACCCGGATGAGAGTGAGGTTTAGGGGGGGTGAGTGTAACGGAGGCCAACTAGTAGTTGCTGTGCGAGTAAACCTCACTCCCCGATCTCAATAGGCGCTCTAGCGACAGACGCTAGAGGCTGCAGTCTTTAGCCTCCTTGCTAGAGCGTCCGACTCTCACGCCGGAGACCCGGGTTCGAGGCCCGCTCGGAGCGGGGCGAGTAGGACCCGGGTGTGAGGGGTTACATTGGCTCTTATGCAATAATGTACCACACTCTAGCTTCCGAGGCTGTTTTGCGGAAATATCCAGTAGTTATTAAGACCGGACAGTGTTGTGGTGTTCATTAATGTGAAAAGGTCATGCGTTAGACATTAAGCTCAAAAACACCAAATGAAAATTAATTCTCTCCCAAAGTTAAATGCTTTTATCGCTTAATTTTAGCTTTCATCTGATTTCGATAGTTCCCTTTTTCGAATTTTCCACTAACTATAAGTAACTACATATATGTAATGAGTATTAGGAGACTGTCAGGTTCAGGTTAGTGGAGTACTAGTAGGTCTAAAGTGTGGACTCGATATAAGGTGTTATTTTATTCATAGTTATACAATTTTTTTGTAAATCAAGTATAGTATTTCATTGAACATTTGCAACTTTTTTGTATGGACCGATGATCAAAGTAAGTGATTATAGTAACTATTCCCATCAATTCCTTGCTATAGTTTGAATCTGAGTGTGAAGTGGAGACAGTCCAGTGTGTGTGTGTGTGTGTGTGTGTGATAATGTCCCGTCTCTGTGTTGGTGACAGAGAAGCAGAACACTTCCAGTTTGCAGATGTTGATCTTCTGCCTCCTCCGGCACTTTACGCCGACTCTCTTTGAGCCTGCGGTGAGGTTTATCTGCTGTATTCTTCAGCCACTGACCCGAGTTTCATATCTAACATTTTACAAACGCAAAGTCTCTGACATCATTTATTTTTCCTTCCACAGTGAGGTTGATTTCATACCTCGATCATAACCAAGGAAATCCACATTTCTTCAGGAGCTGGCGTTTGGAAAAAACTGGGCTTCAGTTTTACAGGTCGTCAGTCCTGTGTCTGAAGACTCGGTTTAACATTACAAGTGCAAAGAGAAAAACTGTGGCGTTTAATGAAAGTGAACTCTTGAGGTTTGAAGTGTTGCATTGGCACTGAGCGGCGAGGGCTCGATCGAGGACGGATAACACAATGGCAGATTAGGGGTTTTAATGAAATGAGGGTGTGGCACTTTGTCATATGAACTATTGAATGAATTGCTAAAGGATTGAGAGAAACTTGTGCATGTTATCGATTAATTCACCTTTGCTTTTGTCGTTGTGTATCTCATTGTGTGGGAACTTTGGAAGTTGGTGGTTTGATTACATGTTTATAAATTGAAAACTTGTAAATGTTGGCGTGAAATAAATGGATCCAGCAGTGATTCTGACTTCTGTTTTTTCTTCTATTGAATGATGGCTGGATGAATGTGTAATAAAACTGTGCATTATGAAGAGTGAGAGTAATACTAAAACAAAATTATTCTGTACGTCTCTGTAAAAAATGAGTCATGGGTCTTGTAATTTTCATTAAAATGAATTTGATAATTTATAATATTTTTAAAAATGTGTACTTTTCATTAATGAAATTTGTTTAGCGTTTGTTGATTTCCCTAATAAAACCAAGAGAGACTTTTTCCTCTTTTATTGAAGGAAATGTCAGCAGTTTTGAGGCTTGATTTGAAGAATGAAATAAGCAAATTAAACGACACAATTTTCATGTTTTGCTAAACTATCCCTTAAAAGTAGATTAAAAGTTAAAATATAATTACCAATTGTATAATTTTTGTATTTGTAAAAATATTTATTATTCATATTCCCTCTTTTATTTATTTATTTCGCCGATTTAAATACTCTCATTTGATGACTTTGTTCATTTTAAGGGCGGCACTGTTTTTAAACCTATATGCACCAGAATAATAATAATGATGATTTTTGACACACAGGAACATGAAAAAATAAACAAACAAAACTAACCGAGAATCTTCTAATTTCCTAAGCCCGTCTAACGGAGAGCCTTGGCACTTCCTATTGTGTATCATCTTGGTTGCAGTTCCATTAGAATTCCACTGGAGGTGATCGCGGGCGAGTGCAGAATGAATGGGAGTCTATGGAGCTAAACGGCTAATGTGTCTCTTTCTCCTGCTTGTCGTTAAATTAAAATATATTTTATTGTTGATTCCGCAAGTTGAATATAGATTATTGGCCAAAAGTCGAATGAACGAGTACTTATGTCCTTTTGATTTCTCACAGGTTAGGCCGTTGTTGGCCGGAGCACGATAGCATTCTGCTATTGTGTGACGTCATCACATTTTTGAACGGATTTTTAGAACAGATAAGAGAACTTAAAAAAGTAATTTTCAGTGGAGAGTATTATCTTAGCCCTCCCTTTTGAATGCAACTTTAAAATTACTTGACAAAAAATTACATCCTGAGAAAAGTGGATTTCTGGGGGTGAAACCCCATAGACTCCCATTCATTCTGCACTCGACCGCGAACGCCCCCGCATGGACAGAGACGTGTTACTGCAGCCAGTCCAGAAACCGGTGAATTTGTTTCATTTACAAAAGCCCTCAAAGTGATAAAAAAGAAAAATGCGATTAGTCTTTCATCTGTCATAGAAGAGTATGATTTAACAAAAAAAAAAAACCTTAGCCCCTATTTTATTTTATTTATTTATTTTTATTTATTTATTTCATTCTATTTTATTAATTTTATTTCATGCACTTGTTCTGTATGTATTTGTTTGTCTAATGTAAAGAATTGTTACTATTGCCTTACTGTTTGTACATGAATAATTGTTCGATAAAAATAAAAAAATAAAAAAAAAGGTCGCTCGCAGGAAGTTGGTCCGCACCGTATTACTTCCGGCCGAAACACGGAACAACAGTGTGAGTAAATCTAAATGAATTACTGCAGCTGCAGGTGAAACTGGACTGTAATGTTTTATATTTCAAGGTAAGGACACGATATAAATGAACGTTAAAATTGTATAGTTAATCTGAAAGCCAACACACATTTTGCGATTGTCCTAACAATGTATGTTCGCAGGAGCATGAGCTAGTGTCTGCAGTAATTCAGCAGTCCAGCATCATCGCTGAATAAACCCCACTGTTACTTCAGGTAAGTTAATTTGCCGTAATAATGAGGACATTCCGGTCATTTAAATCGCAATGTCTTAATTTAGTGCATTTGCTGTGGATGTCTCTTGCTGGTGTTTTAGTTTTCTTATCGACTCCCTTTCATTATTAGCTTTCATTCATTTTGACATCGTCTTTATGCGTTATAATAATAACTTCAATCAAAATACATTATTGTAAGACACGAACATATGGTGATGTAACTCCTGAGACTGAGAACATATGAATCAAAACTGCAGAACTTGATTATTATTATTATTAATGTGTGTTTTTCTTTCTTTAAAGCATTGTCTCACTATGTGCAAACATTGGGCTGCAGTGTTTTGAGTCAAATTGCTTGTTTCCCCCTCAGTGGTTTTGTGTGTTGGTTTTAAACACCTTTATGAATTCTGTCCTTTAAACTAAATGTCCTATTTCAACATATTTTTGCTATAAAACATTACCATGTGAAGCTGTCTTGTATGTCATGGGTAATAAAGGTGAATAAACACCACCTGTCATAATAAGTGTTGAAGATACTGGAGATATTTGTTTCGCAGTCATTAGGTGTGTATTGAAGCGGAGCGGTAGATCATCATCATGGGCCTGTTGTCTGACCCGAATCGCAGAAAAGCCCTGACCAACCTCCTGACCCGCCTCAACACACCCATATGGTATGTATATATATAATATGGTATTATGAATGAAAAAAAAGTATTTATTGTATCTATTCTTGTTTCATTGAGTTTCTGTGTTGATTTGCCTTTGAAATGCTATGCCATCACTTCCTGTCGCACATGTGGTTCTCTTCATTGTGTTTCTTCAGTATGGTGTGCTACCTGGCGGCCATAGTGTGGTTCATGGGCCTGGCGTTCGAGCCCTTCATGCTGCGCACGTACATGTCGGAGAACGCCATGGGGTCCACCATGGTGGAGGAGCGCTTCTCCGCGGGCGAGCGAGCGCTGGCCACCGCCAAGGAGTTCGACGCTCACAAGAGGAAGGCAGGGTGAGTCCGTCAGTGTCTGAGCAACACCAGCGCTTGGTGATTAAAAGAAAATCACATACCCCACCTTTAAGTAAATCATGTTCCATGAAGATATTTTGAGTGAATGCAGCACATGCACGAACATTAATACACAACTTTAAAGGAGATTTTTCAATGTTTCTATATTTTTTTTTTTTTTTTGACCCTCAGATTCCAGATTTTCAGTAGTGTATCTCATCCAAATATTGTCCTGTCCTAACAAAGAAAAGCTTATTCATTGTATAAATGTCAATTTTAAAGAACTGACCCATGTGACTGGTTTTGTATATAAAATAAATGATTTAGAATAAATACTTTAATTTTCGATAAACCCCAAGAGTTGACCATTGTTGATTTGATGCGGACTCTAAAAGAGCTGATGTGTGTGTGTGCAGAGGGATGCCGGTGGACTGGTTAGTGAAGACGATGCAGGCTCGAGGACTGGAGGTGTTCACCCAGAGCTTCTCCCGCAAGCTTCCGTTCCCCGATGAGAACAAGGAGAGATATGTGAGTCTGTCACGAGTTTAACCCTACATCAGGCAGATGACCTGTGCTGACTTTATTCACGAATATTATGCATTGAATCATTCGGTTAAACTTTATTTGAATGTTATAGTTATAGATGTGAGTACTACTAAGTAATAATAATTAACCCTCTGATGGTCCTCGGTCACTTCTGACCGAATAATTTTCTGTTTTGAATAATTAAAAATCACAGCTTCATCGGAGGGTTATGATTCTTGGTGACTTTTTTGGCATTGGGTATGTGAATACCAAAAGAAATTGAGGTCATGATCCGAGCATGCTAAGTGGTCGTAAAAAAAATAGTCACACTCGTGGTCTTCTGTCAGAAATGACTGACCTATAGGAAATGAATGGGAAATTCTACAATCTACAAATCGGCCACGATTCATCACAGCTTCATCGGAAGGTTATGATACTTGGTAACTTTTTTGGCATTAGGTATGTGAACACAAAAAAATTGAGTTCATGATCTGGGCATGCTAAGTGGACGTAAAAAATTAGTCAAAAATGACCCCCATAGGAAATGAATGGGAAATTGACAAAAACACAAAAATTCACTTTTTTTTTTTTAACAATATTTTAAATAAGAAATAGTTTTTTAGATTGTTTCAATTATGTATTCAAAAAAAAAATGTGTTCATAAACAGCTGGGGAATTCACATGCCTCTCCATAGAGAGCTGTACATGCCATCTAGTGGTTACACCATGATTCTACGCTTTTTCTCTATACTCTAACCAGATGGTGCTAATTTTCTTCAAAAATATTTTTTTTCTGAAGGCCTAGACTCTATATTAAACTAAAATACTGCATTAATATTTTTTTAAAATATATATATATAGAAAAATATATATACATTTCCATGGCAAAAATAAACCATAAATATTAATAAATTCAATCAAATTATCTCAAACTACTAAATTAAAAAGAATAAATATTATAGAACAAAAATAAATTGCATTGGTTTTACTGGGATGGAAGAAGTTTCATTTTTAGGCCTCTGGTCGCTTCTGACCGGGAAGGCCCAGGACGTGACTCATAAAGGAAGACCATCAGAGGGTTAAATACATGTACTTACTGTAGGATCAGGGTTAGTTGCATGTAATTATGCCTGGGTTATAGTTATTACTATAGTAAACGCAGGTAATGTGTGTAAGAACACAAAGTGTTACCAATAATTTTGTGACTTTAGTTTTTTTTTTGTTTAAATAGCAAAAGGCAAGACTGGCATTGTGTTCATGTTTGGAGTCTCAATGATGAGGAGGTATAAGTGAATAAAAGCTGTTTTCCGGTGTGTTTTGTCCAGATGGTTCGAGGCACGAATGTGTACGGGATCCTGCGTGCTCCCCGCGCTCCTCGCACAGAGGCACTCGTCATCAGCGCCCCCTGCAGTCCTGGACACAGCAACAACCAGGCGGTCGGCCTTCTGCTGGCTCTCGCGCAGTACTTCAGGAGTAAGACACGGGTCACACGGGGCTGTGTATCTGAGGCCCTGCTTACACTCGCTGTTTTCATGCGTTTTGGTGGATCGGATCACAAGTAGACCAGAGACACATTTACACCTGGTGTTTAAATCCGTCTGTTCTGTCCACTTTAACACACTTCTGTCCTGGTTTCTTCGAGGCGAGGGTCTATGTTCGAGTGAATGTAGTGTTTTTCACATCTAAGCTTCTGCCAGCCAAACGCTGTGAGTGTGTGTTAGAGATCAGGAATGGAGA